CCCCTCATTGAAGGCATCCTGAAACAAGGACTCATTTCCAAATGTGTCCTTACCAAGGACGCAGTACTGAAGGGATCTTTAACAAGGACTCCTCAGTGGAGTGGCCTTTCTGATGAAGGAATGTTGGTTGAAGGGCCCTCTTTATGATGAATCGGAGGAGTGTATATATACACCAATCCATTCCCCGGGTGTAGAATTTATAGCAGATTTTTTTTTCGGTGCCGCTTGTTTTCCATTGCTTTTTCGTTTACATGTGCTTCATTTTCCCTCTGCTGCACCGCGCGTCTTCCTCCTCATTTGCCCACCTCCCCCCGCCCCCCTCCGCTCGCAGCCGCGTCCGCTGCGTTGCCTGCTGCATGCTGCTGGTGGACCGTCGTTACCATCCGCTGCCGTTGCTGCGAACGTCGTGATCAGTTCGGTAATCCCCTCGCACGGATCGTGCCCCATATGAAGCTTCATCGACCATCCTGGCAGGGGCGTACTTAAAGTGTCTCCGCGCTCATTTCGGCACGCCCCCCAGCGCGGACTGCAGCCCGCAATGGGCTCCACCCGCAGGCTCAAGGGGGGCGCCCCCAAAGCTTATCCGCAACCACTACGGCACGCCTTTCCCGCGGCTCGCGCCACTGAGGGAATTTCGCCTACGGCCGTCGCGGGGGCGCTCCAAGTGCGCCTCCATGCCCGCGTCGGCACGCCCCTCGCGAAGATCGCGCCCATACAGTTGTGGCCCCATTTGGAATTCCCATGGCGTCTCCGCTCCCGTTTTTGGCACGCCTTTTCAAGCGGATGGCGCCCCGCAAGGAGCGCCGCGTACAAGCCCAGTAAGGGCAGTCATATTTGCGCATGGCGTAATCGTGCAAATGTCTGCTTGCGTTTGAACAGATCGTGCTCCGCATGGCGGCTCCGCGCACGGCCCTGGCGCGGAGGCCCCCCCCCGGCTATGTCGTCGCACCTTTCAATCAGGTTGTGCTCCCTGTGGAGCTTCACCTGCAGTCCCAGCGGGGGCGTCCGCATGCGGTCGCCCACTTTCCATGGCCACGGGGGACTATGCAAAATCCGGAAACTATAGGAGAAAAATCCAAGGCCCGATTGGTGTATAAAATTTCGGGACGACGAAAATTTCGGAATGTATCTGGCAGAACGGCCCGCCGAAATTTTATACACCGATCAGGCCATAGGAATTCGCCCTATGAGCCTCCCAGAATTTCTGTGGCCCCGGTGACCCGGGGCTTCGCTCCCAGCCACCGATAGAACCGGCCACAGGCAGGCCGTGGCAGGCGGTGGTGCCCCATTTGTGTAGGACTGGAAACCACATCACAATACCTTGACGCTCCGTTTTCGTTTTTTAGGGGGTTAGAGGGGACGGAGAGGGCGGCAGGGATACGGGGCCTGGATGGAGCGATTGGGGGGGGGGGTCGGGGCAGAAACGGGTGGGGAGTGAGAGGGAAAGGGAGGGGCTGGCGGGCGCAGGGAGCGGGAGTGGGAGCGGGGAGTTCCGAGCGAAAGGCATGGGAGCGGGGAGGGGGATGGGTGAACGGACAGTGGGGGGCGGAGGAACGCAGGGGGGGGAGGGAAGGAGTCTGTGAACGAAGACGGAGGCTGGAGGCGAGGTCGTGGCGGGGTCAATGGGGGGGCGATGGTGAGTTGGGAAGGGAGGGAGGGTGATCGTGGGGACGCGGGCCCGTCGCCCATATTTGGCTCAAACCCCCTTTGCGGCATCATTTCCAATCGGGCCAGAGCTTGTACTCCTCCCCTCCCCAATGTGGTGGATGGGTTGGGGTGCTGGCGAGAAGGCCCGCGCGCGTTCCCCGGCCAGCGTGCGGCCCTGTTTAAATTTTCTCGCGTGCCCGGCTACGGGCACGCATTCATGGCCTCGAAACGAGGCACCCCTCGCCTAGAGACGGCATCACCACCATGGGCGGCGGTTTTCCGCCATGGGTGCCGGGGCCGCTGCGGCCTTGCCCGCCCCTGGACAAACGCGCCCAGGCGGGGCGCATGGCGCTTGCTCCCTCTATCGGCCACTGCGCCAAAACCGCTTTGGCCCAACACTCAAAACAAAAATCGGCCCGAACAGGTCGGTGTATATACACACGCCTCCCAATGAAGGATCCCTTACCAACGGGGTCATTATTCAGGATCTTATGAAAAAAGGCATGTGTTGCAGCGGAGTCCCGATTCAAGGAGCCTTTGCTCAGGAATCCTGATTGAGTGAGTGAGTCCTTATTGGAAGTCCTTAGTACAGGCATACTTCATAACGATTCCGCACCGCAAGCATCCGCAGTCGGGAAGCCGTATTGACGGGGCCATACGAAGGGCTCCTCCTGACAGGGTCCATACCATGAAAGGTATCATGATTAAGGATGCCTCTGCTCAGTATAGGCCCTATACTCAGGAACGTGTACTACAGGGCCCTCAGAACGAATCCCTTACTACACGGGACCATTCCCGAGACGTTCAGACTTGAAAGGCAGCCTTTTGCTGAGGAATCTTCATTGAAGGAACCGTGCTTGAGGGAATCGAATTGCAAGGGACCTTAGTCAGGGAATCCGAGATCAAGGCATCATTATTCAGGGCTGTAATGTAAGGGGTCATTACGAAGGACACCTTAACAAAGGCATCTTGACTACGGAACCCCTAGATAACGGGCCAGTAGCCAGGGTCCCTCAGTAAAGCAGTTGTCAGCAAATATTTGTCAGCAGCGTTTTTTCCCAACCAATAGAACATACATATATATACACTTGCAAAACAAATCTGCTGACAAAAACATACAGGACGAAACATGTACTGCTGGAGGACGCATTACCATGCATTATTTCATAAAAAGGCGTATTTCCCAAAGGATCCGTTTTTAAAAGGCATTCGTGACAAGGAATCCGTAATTACTAGAGGCAGACTGACATGGGGTTCAACAGCAAATTGCGACCATGGAAGGCTGCCATGGCACCTGCACCCTACGTGTGACAGACTGCACATTTCCCCAGACAGCCGGTTCCCTGGAAGCAAAGCTCATCCAGAACGAGTAATCCCCATGTGGTGCCCCGGGGGGGCCCAATTCGGAGGAGCCAGGTTTTTTTCTGCTGCCTACGTTACGCTAGAGGTCATCGGGGGGGCGGAGAAGGAGCCATATTGAGAGGCACGATCTTCGATGTCGCGTAGTTTCAGGACGTCGCAGACACAGCGCATACAGTCAGACCTAAGACATAATTAATTCTTTCAAGAACACGAGACCCTCCGTCGACCAAACTGAGGACCATTCGAGGGTGCCCTCCCCCAGGGCGCACAAGAACATTCAACTCACACGAAGGACATTAGGGTATCCTCCCCGAACCGACCTCGATCTTATACTTCAGTCCGACTGTAAGCAGAGCATGGGCACGCAAGGCGTCGTTGCCCAGTAATTATCGCTTCCGCCCTGGATCCTGACGCCTGAAGGTCCCCAGAAGTCCCCAGAGGCCTCCAGAACCCTCTCGACGCCCAGCAAAGGGCCAAAGACGTTTCCAAACCTAACCCCCATCGACCCTCCAGGGACGAGGGCAAGACGTGGCACAACTGCCACGGGAGCGACGTCCAACAAAAACTCGCTTGGCATCGCTCGGACGTGTGCATTTGCGCATGTCTTGGCGAGGAGCAGCTTGGAGCTTTTCGAGAAAAATACACGCACGACATCGCATTCTGCACAGAGAGCAGACGTCCGAGCGATGGCCAGCTCGGGGCCGGCCGCGTGGACGCTGGTGCGCAAGCTGCCCGCGCAAGGTCCTGCGTCGGCGCCCTCATCCTGCACGTGGCGTGCCGCGCTGACGGCCTGCAGAGGCCACCCCGCGAGGTCGCCGCCTCCTAATTGCCGTCGCTTGCAGGTTGGGCATCACTGCTGGAGGATGACGGTTAAGAAATGACCGGGGGTCGTGTCCACGCGGCGGTGCCCAGGATGACGATTCGAAAAAACCGGCCGCGGGCTGGAGAGCCATCTTTTTTCATCGTTCTCCTCCAGTCAGGAAAGTGCGCAGACATAGCAGAAAACTGTGTGTTTAATCGTTCTTTCCTATTTTTTTATTGATCGTCATCCCGCACTACCGCCACTGGGACACATCTGTGTGGCATACCACGGCCATGCGCACAGCGATGGTGGCGGAGTCTGTCCAGCGTGCGCGCCCAGAGGGTGCTTCGGCGGCCGCGGCGGGACACGCATGACCGCCCAGGGGATCACGCAGGCTTCACCCATAGCGAACCTCGCTGCACAAAGCCTCGCGAAGAACACGTAGGACACACACAAGTCCCAGTAGTTAGAAGCGTCACGCCAGCCACGTCCCAGTCCCCAAGCATCCTCGTACCGGAGCTCTCCCCAGCCTCCCGCCCCGCGGAGCGGAGCGACACGCTATGCCGGCTCGCAGTGGATGGCGTGTCACAGGGGCCGTTGCCGCGACATGCTAAGCAAACGTCCATGACCATAGAAGTTTGCTGTCGAGGAGGGGAGGAGGAATAGTATTGACCAGTGCGAGCCCAAGATCATCAAGGATATTGCAATTAACCCTCCCTCCACGTTCCCTTTTCATAGGCCCGTAGACGGATTCATTTTCAGTAAGGAAAATGCCCCGTTAGAAACAACCGTTTGAAAATCCGGAGTTGCGCCAGAATGCCATCACGGGGATATCAACGCCGCGAATCACCGCTATGCGTCTCGTGCCAGCACGCCAATTTTGATTTCAACACCGCGAATCAACCTGACTGTGGCGCCCTGACATTCGGCACTGGGACGTTAACCATGAGAACATGTGAAGTTTTTGCGTTGCTTTCAGGCGAATGTGCGCGGCGCTGAGGCGAGAGCCAAATTTTGAAAACGGGCCGCCCTCCATCTGTGAAGCCCTAGTTTTTGATACAAAAAAAAACGTGCGCGGCGCCAACACGAAAACCACATTTTGAAAACGCGCCGGCCTCCGTCTGTGAAACACCCGCGAACTTTTGAAACGAGTATACGGTGGAGGCCCATGCCAAGAAACACCCTGCTTGCCTCCGTAGCCATTCTGGCTCAAGGGATCGCGGCAAAGCTGCGGATGCGCGTTTTGGAATTCCCTCTATCTCGTCGAACGACGGTCCATCGTGCGCGCGCGGTCGGTCTCGGCTGACCTCGAAGGCATTGCACACCCTTCAAGTCCGCGCGCGAGCTTTCTGGTGGGATGTCCGCGTCGTCTCGCCTCGAGGCGGAGCAGCAAGAGTACGTCGCCACTCTTGCTGTTCGTGGCCTCATATCGTTAAGCTGCTGCATGTTGGTAACACTTGCATGGCTTGGTTATGACGATTGTATAGCCTCGCTGTCCGCAATGAAGAGAGCGTTTCAAGCGCCTTTCTCACTCCCTCATGCTGGATCGTCCTTCGATGTCAGAGTTCTAGATGAATTCAACCATGCAAGAGTGGCGAGAGCTCAGTACGCAGCGGATGGAGTGCTTATTCCCCTTTCGGCTGTAATGTTGCCGCTGGTGATATGCCTGCATGCTTCGAGTTCCACCGACTGGGATGTTATTTTCAGAGCAGCGTTCATGTGCTGGCGTCTCGCTGCAACGTTGTACGTGAAGTACTGGAGAAAGTCGCCTAGATTTCGCCTCGTGGAGATGGAATTGTTTTACAAAGCGTTCATATTGTTATTTGCAGTTCGAACACACTTAGTGGACACACAGCGACTTCTAATGTACGGCGGAGTCTGGAGTGCCTCACGAGTAGCGCTTGCGGCCTGGATACTAGATTGCAAGATGACTGTGAGATGGAACGCTTTCCTTTCTGCAGTGACTTGCCTCACCTTCTGGAACCGGCGCGAGGAGCTTTGCACCAAGGAATTTCGTCCCATGGCAGTTTTCGCGCATTATTTTGCCATTGAGGTGTTCGTTTGTATGGTGACATGTTGTGCTTCAGTTTGCCTGGAGCTTGGCGAGAAGGAACGCATCAAGTCATCCATAGAGTCCAACCAGTCTGGCAGGGCGTATCGGGCAGTTCAAAGATTGCTCGGTGTGTTTTGCGACGCTCACCTGCACATCTGCCCACAATATAACATCATCTCTCATTCCCCACACCTGTTGCACTTGTTGGGGGGCTCGGAAGATGTGATGGGAGGTGCGAAGAGCACGCTTCATGCATCGAATTTCCTCCAGTACGTGGGGGAGTCCGACCGGCAGCGCTTCCAGGACTGGTTCTCGGCGACGGCGGTGGTGCAGGCAGAGGACTTCTCGCCCGACGGCGTCGCCGCCCCCATGACCGAGGGCCCAAACTCGGACAGGTTCGCCACCCGTCCCGCCACATCCATCCACGTGTCCCTGCACAAGGGCGGGAAGGCGCACGCGATCCCCGTGGAGCTGTTCCTGACCTACATCGCCGACTTCACGGGCGCCCCCGAATTCCTGATGGGCATCCGGGAGACCTGCGAGGCGCCGCCTCGGGAGGCCTGCACGGACGCCCCTGGCGCCGTGGCGCTGCAGCTGATGGCAGCGTCCGAGGCGGCGTGCGGGTCCGGCCCCGACGTGGCTCAGGTCAGCGTTGCCCAGCTGGGCGGGAGGGCGTTGGCCCCGACATTGGCGCCGCTGGCAGTCGAGCAGGTCCAGTCGCCCGCCTCGGTGCTGGCCCACTGGCAGCTGGCGTGCAGCAAGGCGCTCGCGGCGAAGGCCCAATCCCGGAAGTCCCGCAGCTCCATCTCGTCGTCTTCGAGGACGTCCTCCTCGTCCGCTGGGACCTCCACGCAAGAGGGCTGCGTCTCGGCCGTCTGCCTGCGGATGGACACATCAAGCCGGAGCCTGCGCGTCGATGAAATGTTGCTGCGCTTCGAGATCGGGCGCCAGCAGTCCCGCCTGAAGGATTGGCTGCCGAAGGAGCTTCTGGACGAGATCACGCGAAACATCCAGGAGCTCGTGAATCAGAGAGAGTACGCGGATGGCGAGGAGGCGGTGCCGTGCATCGGACTTGGGGCGATGCGGTTTGCCAGAAACGGATCCACGTTCCTGATTGCGGAGTCTGCGGAGCTTGTGTTTGAGCCCCCTGTCTTGGTCGAAGAATCGGACTGTTTCAATCCGTTCGTGCACATGAACTTGACTGGGGTGTCGAGGCTTCGCATGCCTTGGCAGAGCGTGCCGCAGAAGGTCTCGAGAAGTCTGCCCACGATCGATGAGTCACTGACGGATGCGGCATGTGATGTCGACGCGCCTGCATTCAGATCAAGGACCAGTGGCTTGGAGAAGACTGCAGGGAGAGAGAGCGCCCAGAGCACAATGGGGAACAGATCAGTGGAATCCACCCCTGGAGTTGTGGCCTCCGCCGCAATTGCATCAGAGAGGTGAGTTCTTCGGGAACTCGCATGTTCCACTTCCAAGTTGTATAAAGTTACGCCTCCTTCGCTTATGGACCACATGCAAAAATGGGAACAGCCGCAGCAGAATGACAGGGTCAAGGGGCGGCAGCTGACGTCGAGGCTTGATGCGAGCCTCCAATCTATCTTTTGCAGCGCGCAGATCTAGCAGTGCAGTCCAGCTTGCTCCTCGCGACGTGTCGCCGTTTCTCGCAAAGTCGCTGAGCGTCGTTAAAACACGTTATGTGGCCGCGGAGGTTTGTTCTTGGCTAGTTGTCATGAGGAGAACCGACGCACCATCGCCTCACCAGTTTTGCTGACCACCCTTCGTTGCCATTGTAGTACTGCTGCCCCCTTTCTGGGCAGCGCCTCGCGGTTGCCAAGCGCCATGGCCCGATGCGACACGCAAGTCGTTCGATATATACTCTCACTGAAGGTGTCCTCTGACTGCGAGTACTGTACTAGCGGCGGTGAGGCCCATACCCCGACCAGCAATGGCCTAGAAATATTGCTTCTTATTTAGATGTGTCACGCATACCTGCCCATGTGACTGCGCAAGCGGCACGCCCCCCCCCTGGGAAGGACGCCACTCGTGCCCAAAGCACGCACACCCACTTGAGGTCCTCTTTCCCTCTGTTTCCTGCCTCTCCTTCTCCACGTGGTGCCGATATGACATCAGACTGACGTCGTGCGATCTGGCGGCGGCGTCTTGAAAGGGGTGTCTGCGCCAGTGCCGCACCAAAAGCCGACGTGTCGTTCTGCAGCTTCGCTTGCCCGCCCCATCGAGCAGATGCCGCACCGCACTTGCCGCCCTCCTCCCCTCCCTGCCGTCCGCGTTTCCTGTCGGGCTACTCGTCAGGCGACGGCCTGCAGGGGCGCTGATTCGGCCGCGCGCGCGCCCGATGGATTTCCCAGATGCGGGCAGAGGTGTGGAAGGCACGAGTTTCGTCAGTTGCCGAAGCCATGTTCTGCGCGTGCCCGTTGCGTGCGCAAAGTAGAGTCTGAACGGTTCGGATCATCCTTGCCGCATGCGAAGTCTTGCCAACCGGCGTGTGGTGTTGGGACCTCATGTTAAAGAGATTGCGCCCCACGTCCTTCACTCCTTCCTTCATTCCTCTCGCTGCCCCCTCCTCCTTCCTCCCTTCCCTGCTTCTCCTCTCTGCATGGCAACCACGTTGCGCACCCCCGCTCCTTCTGCTGCTCACTCTCGCCTGTTTCTTATTTTTCAGGCTGCAAAATTCGGGCCACGTTCGGCCAACGTTGGGGCAAAAAACACCCTGCTTGCCTCCAGGGTGCCCTGGGCCTCCTGGACGTCGATGGTTTTGCGATGGAAAGCGCGACGCTCCCACGCCAAAGCTCAGGGGATGTCCTGGGGTCTCAGGGATGGGTTTCTTGTGGAAGGTTTCTTGTGGACTGGCCTCCACCGTGCGCGGCGCAATGGCGAGGGTCACATTTTGAAAACTGGTTACCGTCCATCCGCGCAACTACCGCCAGTTTTGAACATTGTTTGGGTGTGAAAAGTGGTGAGGACGCCTTAAGCCAAACGTCCGGCCCGCCCTTTGGACTGGCCTCGGGGTGCGCCAGAGAGGATCGATCTACAAGGAGAAGGGATGGATAATGAGGAGGAGGAGGAACAGGAGGATGAGGAAGTGGGAGGGGGCGAAGGACGAGGCGGCCGAGGCGGAGGAGGAAACGGAGGCGGAGGAGGAGGCGGAAGAGGAGGAGGAGAATGGGAATGGGGAGGAGGAGAAAGAGGCGGAGGATGGGAAGGAGGAGGAGGAGGAGGAAAAGGAGGAGGAGGAGGAAAATAAGGACTCGCTTCAACGCTCGCTGGTGTCTCGTCGCGTTGCTCCGCCGACGGGCCACTTCAGTCGCCATAGAGCCAGGAGCGAGAGGAGGAACACAATCGGACAGGGGCCATCGCGCATTGAGCTAACCTCCGCTGACTCATCCTCCTCATGACCCCGCGTTTCTTCTCATCCTCTTCTTCCTCCACGTGGAGCGCACGAGGGCTCCTCGAAAACCGCCGCCATCAGGACAATCGAGCCCCGCATGGCAGCTGACGGCGCAGCCCATGCAGGTGGCCCACCTGCAGCACCGACTCTTCCTGGACATGCTGGCGGTGGTACAGCGCCCGCAGTACCAGGAGTTGCTGACACGGCAACGCCCAACACCGCCGACACCCCGTTCGAACAGCGCCTCTCCACCGCCATCGGCGTCCAGTTCAACACCATCCAATTGGATCTTCAGTCCTTCATCGATTCGCCCATGGCCACCACAATGGCCAACGCGCAGAACGAGCTCGCCAGCATCATGCAGCTCCAGCTCGCCCCAATCGTGGCCAGGGTCTCAGCAGCCGAGGCCGACATAAGAGTCTCGCAAGACCGCACTTCGGCGTTGGAGGCGGAGCAGAGGGACTTACGCCAACAGGCGCAGCGCATGCAGCAAGCGCTGGCGAGGGCGGAAGGTGCGGCGATGTCGGGGGCTGTGGACGTGGCTAGATTCGCGACATGGGATCGCTCCACCAACCCAGAGCTCTTTAGCGGCAGTACCGACATGGAGGTCAGCAGCTCCGCGCTCATGGAAGGCCCCACGTAATGGTTCGACATGGCCATTGTACGGAAGGATCAGCTCGAGACCATCGGACATGAAATTCCAAGCACAGAACTCGGTCTTCGTTGCTCAGATGCCGAAGCAGGACTCCGTCGAGCACGTGCCCGCATTCATGCTCAGAGAAACGGCACGGGACGCTGGCGCAAGGTCAGCAACAGTGCAGCGAATGGGTACAAGACAAGCATTGGCATTGGACCAGGTCGCAACCCCAAGCGACATCGACGAGGAGTTGAAACGAAGAAAGTACAGCAAGTACTTCAGCGTATGGCACCGACTGGCGAATGGTGGTCCTGGCGAGCAGCCAGGCTGGTATATAGTGGCGGTCTCCCGTTTGCCGAGGTCATTCCAGGAGTTGCCCCCAATGACCAGTCGAAGCTCGCATGAAAACCGCAAGCGGGTGCGCGATTCAATGTCGACAAGGACGCGGTAAGCAAGGCGTTCCACCAGCTCTCCGAGGAGGTGGACACGTCATCCTGGCGCCGTTCCTGACACGCGATGGCGCACATGGGATCTGGCACCTTGGGGGCAGCAGAGCTTTCATGGAACGCCGCAGCATTCATCCGTCGTAACCAAACCAAGCGTCGCCAGAAGGTCGCCCGACTGGCATCCTGGATCGAGCATCGCCCCTTCCGTTGCCTCCAAGAAGTACATGGCACCCACGGGTTGTTTCTGAACTACATCCGATCGTACCCCTGCGAGAATAAGATCTCCACCGCCGTGGGCGACCGCCCTGACATCGGCGGCGCGGCCATTGCGGCCCCGCGGCATCTGGGCGCAGAACTATTGCGACATGGGCCTGACCAGATACCCGAGTCCGACCACGAGATACAGGCCAAGGAAAGGTCCCAAACGCACGCGATCGACAACCCAACGACGGATCTGCCGCCCGCACCATAGACATCCACATTCCCGATTTGAATGACCAGCGATCTCCATCGGTGACTTCAACCTTTCGGACAGGCCCAGCGACTCGCATCTCTTCCCTGAGCTGCGCCAGGCACGCCTGTCGCAGGATGGGCGGGCAAATCATCGCGAGAGAGTTTGGCGCACTTTCTCTTGGGGGCCTAATGGCGGAGATCGCCGCCGATCTGCCCGCCCAGCTCCCCCGCCCCGCAAACTCCCTTTCCTCGATCGATCGAGCCGTTGTCTCCCTCTCTCCTCAGTTGTTTCTCGAAGCTGAAGCGACGCTGGATCTGATGCGAGAGGCCTCTGAGCCTGCCGATTGGCAGCTCGGCGACCGCGCCGTCCTGTCTCAGCATTCAAAGCCTCGAGGTGCGGCGCTGGCAGACCGGCGGAAGCCCCCCCCCCCCCCCCTCTTCGATGACCTCGAGCGCCCCAGACATATGACGATTCTGGGGAACTGCTTGGCTGGCTGCAATCTGGACCCCCTTCCCCCCCCCCCCCCCCCCGAGGTTTGGATTTCCCTGGGGGGCAGCGCGATTGCTGCCGCCGCCGCAACTACTCGCGGAAATTTATTGTAGTCCCCAGAACTCCGCTCCGCCTTCATTACCCGACCCCCGGCGCCGCCAGGAACGCGGGCATGCCCTTCGGCCAGGTCAGGGGGGAAGTTCGAAGCAAAACGATCGAGTTGCCTGAAGTTGCCCCCTGCTCTGCGCGCGCGGTTATTTCGCCGGTCGAAGCCCGCGGCGCAGCATGCCCACCCCAGGTGCCCAGTTTCACTGGAGCTTCAGGCGTTGCTTTGTTGACTGCGCTGCCACCTCCAGGGCGGCTAGGTCACCCGAGTATGAGTGCAGTGCTGCGAGCAGCCGTGCCCACCTTTGGACTCGGGCCTCCCATCTCCGCAATGGGGAGCCGCCTACAGTTGTGAAGGCCCGAGCGAATTCGTCGCGGGTCAAGGTTGGGCGGGCGCTGTCGACCCCGTTCCACAAGAGAGGCTCCGACGAGGCTGATCACCCAGCGAGGCTCGGGGTGCAATGCCATCCGTCTGTGGCCCAGGCTGAGCGGAAGCCCCGCCTGTTCGAATCGGTGGGGCGCCAAGCTGGTCACTGGGCTTGCGAGCATGAGGCCTGGAGGGCTGACAGAAGGCGGCGTGATGGCGTCGAGCTCGCGGGCCCCCAGGGGGTCTGTCGGGACCGCGCCTTCCTGCAGCAGCTGACCGTGCCGAGAGTTAGTTTTGGGGTCCGGCAGTTCGTCCCTTCGGATCCGCAGCATCCTGAAGCGGTCGCCCCCATCAATGTGCTTGATCACTCGATCCGCAGGGCCACTGTGTTTGGCCCTAACGGTGAGCAAGAGATTCATGGGGGCACCGTCTGCGTGTGTACTAAGTGCGGGGGTTACAGTTGGGGGGCGGTGAAGGCCCCTCGCCGCCCCTGCACCCTGCCCAGGGTGGGCCTGAAGAGGCAGGCGAACCGTGTCGTGAAGGGCGTTTTTCCGTCTAGGGCTCCTCAGGATCAAGGGTGGACAACTGGCCCAACGAGGCCAGCCGCCCCAGTGGATGTGGCCATGCTGGCCACCACGTCTTCGGCCGATCTCGCCCTGGGAGGTGGGAGGTGGGGGGCGTGGTCGTCGTTGTCGTGTGGGGAGCGGTGGAGTGTGGCGGAGTGTGCTTCTCGGTTCGACCTCACGCCCGTACGGCTGGCGGAGAAGGCGGACCGTCCCCGCAGGAAGGATGTGGTGTCCAAGGAGGCGAGGCGGGCGGCCTGGCAGGCCCGCCGCTGACGCCCCTCGGGCCCACCTCCCCCTCCCCCGCTTTCTTTCCCCCCGCTGGTGGCGTAAGTGGCTGGCGCCCCCGAGAGCGCCACCCAGCGGGTGGGACTTTGGTGGGCTGAGGTGAGTCACCGACCTCATCCGCCATGTGAAATAGACATAGAAATAGAGGGGGGGAGGAGGAGGAGGAGGAGGAGGAGGAGGAGGAGGAGGAGGAGGAGGGCGGAGGGCGGAGGAGGAGGGGAGGAGGAGGAGGAGGAGGAGGAGGAGGATAGGAGGAGGAGGAGGAGGCGGAGGAGGAGGGGAGGAGGAGGAGGAGGAGGAGGAGGAGAGGAGGAGGAGGAGGAGGAGGAGGAGGGAGAGAGAGGAGGAGGAGAGGAGGAGGAGGAGGGGGAGGAGGAGGAGCAGGAGGAGGAGGAGGAGGAGGAGGAGGAGAAATGAGGAGGAGGTGGAGTTTGAGGAGGAGTAGGAGGGGGAGGAGGAGGAGGAGGAGGAGGTCTCGCCTCCCGTAGTTCGACACGTCTCGTCCTTTGGGCGCCCTCGTTCGGCCAGAGTTGCCTCGTCGCGGGCTGGCCTTGAGAAGTGGACGTGCCCGGGGGCCCAGGCCCGCCGGCGTCGCGGCAAAACGGGAAAGTCAGAGGCACAGACGGCCGCGTGGGCGCGGCTCCCGCCCGCCTGACGCGCAGTGCTCGGGGCCCAGGGCCAGAGCCGAAGACAGTGGGGGCCCATGCCAAGAAACAGTTCCTCCTCCTCCTCCTCCTCGCTTCTCCTCCTTCTCCTCCTCGCTTCTCCTCCCCTTGGCTCTCCATCCCGAGCTGCTTTCTGACGGCCCTGGGGCCCAGCGAGGGCCCCCACAGAGGCCGAGAGCGGCAACAAGAACCCGCTCGTCGCGTGTTTCCGCGACGCGGGGGGGGGGTCTGTTATGATCTAGGCCTCCCGGATGGGGTCCGAGCAGATGGGGTCGGAGGAGCGCGCCGCGTCGCCGATACATCGGCGATGGGGTTCGATATGGAGCCCGACCGTCTCCTCGCCGACAGCGCCGACGCATCGCCGACGTTGCCGATGCATCGCTGGTGCATAGCCGATGCATCGGCGAGCGACCCGATCCTCCGACCGGCAGGAGTGCGAGGCCGCCTCCGCTGGCGGAAGCTTGGCGGAAGGTGGCGGCAGGAAGAGCTGCGCCCCCCCCCCAAGGATGGAAGCGTGTTTTGGTGCAGGGTTTCGGAACCCGGCGTCAGAAGCACCCCGACAACCGAAGGCGTTCAGTAAACGCACCCGAGGACGGAATCGAACAGGGCAGGCCCCTTCAGTAAACGCCCAGGGCCGTTTTGAAAACGCCAATTATCGGGGTCGTGAGTGGTTTTCCTCCCTTGACCCAGGGCCGATTATTGGTGTCAGGGTGCGTCTTACGCAGGGCTTGGTCGCACCGCACCGTTCTACATGTCGGGGGGGTCGCCTCGGCCACCAGGGCAGACGCCGCTTCAGGCGCAAGGCTCCCCGCTGTTTTCTCGCGGGCTTGCCGTGGTGTCGGCGTCGTCCTTTTGGGCGCGGCTTCGAGAAGAATAACGGCGCGGCGACACGTGTCGGACACGCGCAGAGGGGGGTATGGTTAAGTCGGGCATGCCCCTCTACAGGAGGAATATTCAAGATTATCCTGGCGAAGGACCCAACCATATGAAGTTTTGGGTACCGCAATTGTGAATACCTTCTTCGGTGAAGCTCCCTATGGGGCCACTAAGCGCTGCGCTGGGCGGGGGGGGGGGAGCGCATGCTGGCGGTAGCACTGGGGCCGTCGGTGAAGCTCCCTCTGAGGCCACGAAACGCTGCACTGGGTGGGTGAAAATACCAAAGTAGGCGTGTGGGACGCATGCGGGCGGTCCCATTGGGGGCTTCAGTGGAGCTCCCCATGGGGCCGCGAAGCGTTGTAAAGGGTGGGTGAAACTGCCAAATTGGGTGTGGGGACGCATGCGGGCGGCCCCACTGGGGGCTTCGGTGGGGCTCCCTATGGGGCCACGAAGCGCTGTACTGGGTCGGCGAAAATGCCAAATTGGGTGTGGGGGACGCATGCGGGCGGTCCCACTGGAGGTTTCGGTGGAGCTCACTCTGGGGGACGCATGCGGGCGGTCCCACTGGGGGCTTCGGTGGAGCTCCCTATGGGGCCACGAAGCGTTGTACTGGGTGGGTGAAAATGCCAAATTGGGCATGGTGGACGCATGCGGGCGGTCCCATTGGGGGCTTCAGTGGAGCTCCCCATGGGGCCGCGAAGCGTTGTAAAGGGTGGGCGAAACTGCCAAATTGGGTGTGGGAAACGCATGCGGGCGGCCCCACTGGGGGCTTCGGTGGGGCTCCCTATGGGGCCACGAAGCGCTGTGCTGGGTGGGTGAAAATGCTAAATTGGGTGTGGGGGACGCATGCGGGCGGTCCCACTGGGATTCGGTGGGGCTCCCTATTGGCCCACGAAACGTTGTACTGGGTGGGTGAAAATGCCAAATTGGGTGTGGGGGACGCATGCGGGCGGCCCCACTGGGGGCTTCGGTGGAGCTCCCTATTGGGTCACGAAGCGCTGTACTGGGTCGGTGAAAATGCCAAATTGGGCGTGGGGGACGCATGCGGGCGGTCCCACTGGGGGCTTCGGTGGAGCTCCCTATGGGGCCACGAAGCGTTGTACTGGGTGGGTGAAAATGCCAAATTGGGTGTGGGGGGCGCATGCGGGCGGTCCCACCGGGGGCCTCGGTGGAGCTCCCTATGGGGGCTGGGTGGGTGACAATGCCAAGTTGGGTGTTTGGGGCACATGCGGGCGGTCCCACTGGGGGCTTCGGTGGGGCTCCCTATTGGGCAACGAAGCGCTGTACTGGGTGGGTGAAAATGCCAATTTGGATGTGGGGGATGCATGTGGACGGTACCATTGGGGGCTTCGGTCGAGCTCCCTATGGGGTCACGAAGCGCTGTACTGGGTGGGTGAAACGCATTGAAGAAGGACGAGGGGGAGGAGAGGGGGAGGAGGAGGAGAAGAGGAGAGGAACGCGGGGACCGTCTCTTCAAAACGAGGACCCAACACCACAGGACGGTTGGGAAATAGTCAACGAGTAGTCAGGGAACGATGTGTCGATGATTTGTTGTACTATGTGGGGATATGGTTTGGGTATGTTTTATTTGTTCGTCCAAAATCCGCCTGTAGGGGGACATGCCCGACCTAACGGTATGGGGGAGGGGGTCAGGCCTCTCAGAGGCAGGCTTGTTGGAAGGCGCGGGTCCGATGTGTAGATGGAAGGCCGGCGCCTTCTAAGAAGCAGCCTCCTCCTAAGGAGCCTTCCCCCCTCCCCCTGCCCCTCGGCACTGCACCTCCTCCTCCTCCTCCTCCTCCTCCTCCTCTCTCCTCCTCCTCCTCCTCCTCGTCCTCCTCCTCCTCCTCCTCCTCCTCCTCCTCCTCCTCCTCCTCCTCCTCCTCCCCCTCCTCCTCCTCCTCCTCCTCCTCCTCCTCCTCCTCCTCAGCCGAAGACACGTCGTGGCGGACGGCGCCGCGCGGAGGCCAAGGAGCGCAAGCTCACGACGAAGGACGCAGGCCTCAAGGACCTCCTCCTGCACCTCTCCATGCTGGTGTCGCAGTTGGCGCAGAGGTCTCGAGCGATGTGGGGCATCACCACGCGCACAGCGATCCTGGAAGACAAGTCGCCTGTGATCAAGGCGATGCAGCAGGAGGGCCAGGACTTCGCGCAGGTGGCGAACCAGAAGCGCGCGGAGGTCAGCAGGCTGAAGGACCAGGCCAAGGCGGCGAAGGACACGGACGGAGCAGCGGCCCGCCAGTTCGACCTGGAGGCCGACAGGATGATGGAGGGACTCCGCGGCCTGGGCCCTCCAGCGCCTGCGGTCTTCTGCGCCATGATCGAGGCGCTGGCGAACGAGGAGATCGGCAAGAGGCTCAAAGACGTCCTGGTCGCACTACTGGCCGAGATGGAGGAGGCGCCTCCCACCTACGTTCGCCTGTGCCGCCTGGAGAGCTGCAAGCAGCCCGACATGCTGAAGGTGGTGTTCGCGCTGGACCGAGTGGACCTCGAGGTGCAGGTGATGGAAGCGTTCCGCTCGATGGGAGTAGTGACGACGGTGGGCGCAGCACCGAGTGGTTACCTCGAGGACGAGATCTCGGCCTGGATCGATGTGCTGAAGGACGCCTGAGTGTTGCAGGCGCCCCAGAGACAAATTCAGAGGCCGAGGATGAAGATGGAATCATTTTTGAGGCCTGGCTCTAGAGAGTTCGGGTTCGGAGGGCGCGGGCACCGCGCCGTAGCCATTGAGTTTCGGCAGCGCGGCCTCGTGCACCTGGCAGTGTGACGCACTCTCGAAGGGTGCGGACGGCGGACGCACGCTTAGGATGGCCCCCTGCTCCTTTTCGCCTCCCTCTTCGCCCCTCGCCCTTCGTGGCCCCTGCCCGTCGCTCGTGGCCTCCTCCTGTTCGGCCCCTTCGGTCGGTCCCCTCGGCCTGCTCGGTCCCTCGTGTAGGTACAGCTTGAGCTTCCCGAGGCACGAAACCAGTCAGTGGAGCAGTCATTCTGATCTCTCGTCCCACAGCCGCTCACAGACAGACAGACTCCTCCTCCTCCTCCTCCTCCTCCTCCTCCACCTCCTCCTCCTCCTCCTCCTCCTCCTCCTCCTCCTCCTCCTCCTCCTCCTCCTCCTCCTCCTCCTCCTCCTCCTCCTCCTCCCCCCTTGCTCGCGCCGCCAACCGTGATCCCGTCGCACTGCGCCCCCCTCGGCCCCAGGAAAGCGCCGCCCCCGCGGCCGGGCCAGCCGCCCTTCGGGCCGGGCATGCCCAACGCCGCCGCCTCGGCCGGGCCCCGGCCGCCGCCAGAGCGAGGGTCCACGCCGGGCCGGGCGGATTCCCCCAGAGGATCGAGCATCGAGGGTCGAGGGTCGAGGGTCGAGGGTCGAGGATCGAGGGTCGAGGATCGAGGGTCGAGGATCGAGGGTCGAGGGCCGAGGGTCGGGGGTCGAAGATCGAGGGTGAGGGTCGAGGGTCGAGGATCGAGGATCGCCGCCGAGGAGGGTACACGCCGGGCCGGGCGGATTCCCCAGAGGATCGAGGATCGAGGGTCGAGGATCGAGGGTTGAGGGTCGAGGGTCGAGGATCGAGGGTCGAGGATCGAGGGTCGAGGATCGAGGGTCGAGGATCGAGGATCGAGGGTCGAAGATCGAGGATCGAGGGTCGAGGATCGAGGATCGAGGATCGCTGCCGAGGAGGGTCGACCCCAAAACTTTGGCCTGCGCGGGGACGCGGTGCGCGGCAAACGCGAGGGTCCACGCCGAGCCAGGCGGATTCCCCAGAGTAGGAGGGAGAGTCTAGGCCTCGAAAAATTCGGCGGCGAGCGAGGAGGGGAAGTGAGAAGGATAAGGCCTTCTCAGAAGGCGGCGGGACTTCTCAGAAGCCCTCGCGCCTTCTCAGAAGTTTGTCTGTGTCTTGGGGGAAGGCTTAGGCAACTTCTCAGAAGGCCGGGGGACTACTGAGCCTTCTGACCAGGCCTTCTCTTTCCCACTTCCCCCCAGGCTCGCCGGAAAAAGTTGGGTCCGAGTACGGTCGGGCCGAGGTATGAGATCGAGGTCTTTTCGGGGAGCAGACCCCCATGTTCTCCGTGTCTGTCCGATGTGCTTGTGCACCGTGGGGAGGGTACCCTTGGATGTCCTGTGTGTTTTGGCCGGCGGAGGGCCGCATGTTCTTGGGAGACTTTATTACGTCCCGGGTCCGACCGTGAATAGGGTCGAAGGACCGCGGATGCATCGGCAGTGCGGCTCGATGGTGAGCACGTTTTTTTGCACGCCGATGGCACCGACGCGTCGACGATGCGGTGCGATCTTCTGACGCTGTCGACTCTGATATCATCTGGGAGGCCTCCAGAGAGCAAGAGGCCCATGTAGACAAAAAAACATACCTCGGATGCCCGTGGAGGGAGGAGGAGGAGGAGGAGGAGGAGGAGGAGGAGGAACAGGAGGAAGAGGAAAGGGAGGAGGAGGAGGAGAACCCCTCCCTTCAAGCTCCCGCTTCACAGGCTCCTAGAAGGATGGTCCGTTTTCACTGAAGGCGGTGTCCCCTTGGAAGACGGCCGTGTGAAGATCTTGAGCTGCGCCAGGACACAATCCCAGGGATTGCACCGCCTCGAATCACGGTTACTAATGCGTCTTCATGAGCCTGGATCATGCCAGAACACCCTTCCTGGGATCAACGTAACCATTGCGCCCTTGCAGTTCGGCACTTCAGCAAAGCATCAAGCTGCGAGACGTTCATCACGATAATCCGTGGAACTGCTGTAAAGTCTTAAGCGAATCTGCGTGGCGCTAAGTCGAGAGCTACTTTAAAAAAACGGCCCGCCCACCATGTCGTGCACTGCTGCGTTTTCACATGAGCGGATGTGCGCGGCGCTGCGGCGGAAGAAGCCGCCTCTTTGAAAGCGGCCCCCGCCCTCCCCCCGCGAAGCTCTTGCAACTGTCGGAGATGGCTGTGCGCGGCGCCGAGGCGAGCGCCACATCTTTGAGAACGGCCCGCCCGCCAGCCGTGAAGCTGCTGCGACTCCTAGATGGAGCTGGCCTCCGGCCAGTGCCGCCGATCTGGGGCGCTCTGGCTAATGATGATGGTGATGATGTTGATGGTGGTGGTTGTGATGATGATGATGATGATGATGATGATGATGATGATGATGATGATGATGATGATGATGATGATGATGATGATGATGATGATGATGATGATGATGACGATGATGATGACGATGACGATGATGACATGATGATGATGATGATGATGATGATGATGATGATGATGATGATGATGATGATGATGATGATGATGATGATGATGATGATGATGATGATGATGATGATGATGTGTTGCGACTTATAGATTTGGTGAGGACGTCTCAGGCGGCCCGCCAGGCCCGCCCTCTCGACCGGCCTCGCAGGTGCACCAGGGAGGAGTTATCTACAGTGGAGACCCATGCCAAGAAACAGTCTGCTTGCCTCCAGGGCTTAGTGGGCCCTGGAAACGACAGGACTCTTTGTTTACCGGCTCTGGTTCGGTGGTCTTGCTGTGGAAAGCGCGGCGTTCCCACACCAAAAATCAATGGACGCCCTGGGGTCTCAGGGCTGAGCTTCTTGTGGGAGGTTTCTTGTGGACCTGGCCTCCACTGTACTGATGATGAGGAGGATCGGAGGAGGGATGGTCATGAGGTCTTCAGCGCTTGATGGGCTTTCTGGAGCGTCCTCGCCGTCACGGCTGGACTCGCCCTGAACATCTTTGGTCGGTGCGCGCTCCAGGGCTGGGCCCACGGACGAAGTTCGACGAAGGGGGAGGAGGACGAGGAGGACGAGGAGGACGAGGAGGACGAGGAGGAGGAGGGGGAGGAGGAGGAGGAGGAGGAGGAGGAGGAGAAAAAGGAGGAGGAGGAGGAGGAGGAGGAGGAGGAGGAGGAGGAGGGGAGGAGGAGGAGGAGGAGGAGGAGGAGGAGGAGGAGGAGGAGGAGCAGGGGGAGAAAGAGGGGGAGTTGGAGGAGGGAGGAAGAGGGTGGGTGGGCCCTGGTCTCCAGGCGTCGCAGAAGCACTCACGACGGGCTTCCTGGTCCTTGCCCCTTCCTGGGCCTCCGAGGGGCCGCTGCCTCGGGCCACTGGGAGCATCCGAAGCCGACCCGCGGCGAGAGAACTCAAAGTCATGCGGCCATCAGTTTCGGCGTAGCGTGTCCCGCCCTGGCAGTTCTGGGTCGTGCCAAAACATCAGCTGTGGGATGTTCGCCGCGAAAGCCCTTGCAAGTGTCGTAAACTCTTAAGCACGAATCTGCGTGGCGCTATAAGGCGAGAGCCGCATCCTGAAGAGGAGCCGCCCTCCATCCGTGAAGCTCGTGCAGTGTTTTGAAGCGGATGTGCGCGGCGCTCGGGCGAGAGCCACGTTCTGAAAACGACCCGCGGTCCAGAATCTCGGCTCAGCGTGTCGCACGGCCAGTTCTGGCCCAGCGTCGACGTCCCGGGCGTGTGCCAGCTCCCGGCCCCGCGGAGCGGAGCGACACGCTACCCGCTCGCCAGGCACAGCACGTCGCCGGGGCCGCCGCAGCGAGACGCTGAGCAAAAGTTGCCGACCGCAATGTAAAAGACGGGGATGGCTCAGCCACGCGCAGAGGTGAGCAGGGGGAGGGGCGAAGGCTTCTTGGAAGCACCCCGGCCTCTCAGAGGGCGCGGGCCTCGTCTGCAGGTGCAGGACCGGCGCCTTCTGAGACGAAGCCTCCCTCTAGGAAGCCCTTTCACCGCCAAGATGTGGTCCAAGAGGCGCAGGGCTCGCGTGGTGGAGGTATCACTCAGGATTGGAAAAGCACAGACACAACATGCATCGTCGACTCCCAGGAAAATATGGGAAAATGTGGGACGTGGGGGGGGAGACGCAAACCGAGAAAGTGCAGGAAAATATGGGGAGTCCTGGGACTTGCGTCCATGTACGAGCGTGTGTGTCCCTGGGCCCCCTTCGGTCTTGAAGTGCCGCGGCGGTCCCGCCCTGCTGGAGGTTGCCGGGCAGGGGTGCTCTGGACGCCCCTCTGCGGGGAGGGGTCCTGGAGGTGTCAGGGGGCTCGTCGGGGCTGCGGGGTTGGGGGCTGGAGGGCGGGACGGGGCGGGCCCCTGGAGGTTGTGGCTTGCTTCCTGGAGGAGGAGGAGGAGGAGGAGGAGGAGGAGGAGGAGGAGGAGGAGGAGGAGGAGGAGGAGGAGGAGAGAGGAGGAGGGGAGGAGGGGAGAGGAGAGGCAGAGGGGAGTGAGGAGGAGAGAGGAGGAGGGGGGAAGGAGAAGGAGGAGAGAGGAGGAGGGGAAAGGGGAGAGGAGGAGGAGGAGGAGGAGAGGAGGAAGAGGAGAGGAGGTGAGGAGGTGGAGGAGGAGGAGGAGGAGGAGGAGGAGGAAGAGAGGGGGAGGGAGTGGATGAGAGGGGGAGGGAGAGAGAGCTCAGAGAGAGGGTTCAGGTGAGCGAGGGGCGGCACGGACAGAGCAGGGGGGCCGAAGGAGGGCGGCGGGGAGGAGGGAGGCAGGGAGGGTGGAGCAGCAGCAGGACCCAGACCCCCGACATGCATGAAGCACGCCGGAGCCTCGTTGCGACGGCCTCCCCTCCCCCCACGACCGGCGAGCAGAGTGTCCAACCGTCCAGCCTCTCACCATTTAGCTGTCGCACCTCCGGCTTCATCCTTCTCGCCTCGTCTCTCCTCGTCCCCCATCCATCCCTGCTTCTCCGCTGCCGCTTAGGGCCCTTGAGCCAGGGCGCCCGGGAAACGAGCGATCGACGATGCGATCCGAGCCGGTCCTCGGTCGACACCTAGCCTCGCCATGGGAGAAGCGAGTGCTTCGACGTCTTCGGGCCCTCGGGGCCCTCCGCGTGACCCAGGGCTGTCAGCCGACGAGTCAGGAGGGAAGAATCGGTCCTGGGGGGAGGCACCGGGTCCAGGACCCTTTTCCTTCGGGACGAGTTTCCCCAATGCTAGTATCCGCACCCGCGCCCTCGCTGTCTGAATTCGGGGGCGCGATCCCGCGGATACGCGGTCGCACGGACGCGTTCGGCGAGGGGCATCCGCGAAGAAGCGCCCCGTATCCGCGGGGTCGCGGCCCAGGGTCCCGGCCCGCGAGGCCGCGAATACGGATACTTTTGTCGCCCACGAACCCAGAAGCCCGACGTCGTTTCTTCGTGACGTCGACCCCCAGAGGTCTCGACCCGTTCTCTGGGACCGGCTTCTCATCCTGCCTCGCTTTTTGGCGGTCCCGAGGCCCGATGCGGACCCCCAGGGGCTGAAAATAGTGAAAACCGCCCGCCGTTTTTTTCACGACTCGAGCGGTTCTGGGGAGGGGGCGGGCGGGAGGATCGGTGGTTTAAAGATGTGGTCCTGAGAGATGGGGTCATAAGGACCAGGTGCTCCGAACAGCGTTCAATCTTGAAGGTCGCCGAGGGGGCAGCGTTGTTTCCAGGGCCAGATCCCCGTACGCTCGGCGGGCGCGCTTGATCGGTCAACAGCAATCCTTTCAGCCGCCCTCCGCGAGAAGCTCTGATTTCAGGTTTGCTCTTGCCGGCGATTGGGCTGCTCATGCTTGCTCTTGCCCTACAAAAGCATTGCCTTCTCCCCCGTCGCCCCAGAAACACAGATCGCGTTCGCTGCCCCTCAGCGAGCTTCAAGTTAAATCCACCCTTGAATCCCGTCCTATCCTGAGGACCCCATCCCTCAGGACCCCATCCGTGACCGAGGCCTCGGCCTCCAGGACGGGGTCCGAGCAGATGGGGCCGGAGGATCGCGCCGCATCGACGACGCATTGCCGTTGCGGCTCGGTGTGGGTCCCCGATTTTCTCCACCCCGACGCCGCCGATGCACCGCCGACGTCGCAGACGCATCGCCGATTCATCGGCGAAACATCGGCGATGCATCAGCGATGCGGCGCGATCCTCCGACCCCATCCAGTCGGACCCCATCTGGGAGGCCTAGATCTCGGTGGTTTCAACATGGGGTCCTGAGGGATGGTGTCCTGAGGATGGTCAGGGATCCAAGGGTGAATTCACGTTTTTCGAGGCACCTCGTCCTCAGGCTCTCCGCTGCTCCTCTCGTGGAAGCCTCCCGAATGGGGTCCGAGGAAATGGGGTCGGAGGATTGTGCCGCATCGCCGTTGCATCGCCGATGCATCTCCGACCCCAGACCCCCGACGTCACGATTTGTTCAATACGTCGACCCCTGGAGGTCTCGACCCATTCCCCTTGACCGGCTTTACATCCTGAGTCGTTTTTCGACGGTCCCGAGGGGTGAGGGCCCCACGGGGCCGAAAATAGCAACAAATGGTTCGTCCTGATGTTCGTCCAGCAAAATAGCCGGTAATAGCAAAACACATTAAAGATGGTCTGGGACGTCTGCGACGTCGGCGAGGGGAGGCGCAGTGCGCCGGCACGCACGGGGGAGGCCTGCAAGCCAAGAGGCCCTCTCCGTGTGGCTGCCACGGCAGGGCCCGGGCGCGCGAGGTCCCCAGGCCTCGCGCTCCGCGCAGCGGGGCGGCGCTGCAGCGAGGCACAGAAGCTGGCGCGCAGCCCAGTGGCACGACGCGCCCAACCCAGCCCCCTCCTCCTCCTCCTCCTCCTCCTCCTCCTCCTCCTCCTCCTCCTCCTCCTCCTCCCCTCGAGTCGAGACAAACAAAACACGACGGGCGGCGTTTCGCTGTGGCCGGCCCCTGGGGGGCCAAGCGGAACTGCACCAAGAGCTGGCTCTGCGCCGTGTGCGGCCCCTGTGGCGCGACGCTGCAGCGAAGCAAACAGCTGGCACAGACCAGCGGCACAACGCGCCAAGCCCAGGCACGACGGGCGGCTTGTCGCTGTGTGCGGCCCCTGGGGGCCCGCACTGGGCCTCGGGACGGTCAAACAGCGGCTCGGTCCTGGGGCATGGGGTCGAGACCTTTGGGGGTCGACGTCATGAGAAAAACATGACGTCGGGGGCCTGGGAAGTGGGTGGGAACTTCCAGACACGCATTGCCCTCATCAGGACACACGGTTGCAAGGCCTCCACGCGTCGGCAGGTCTGCTTGTGGCCAGCTCAGGCTTCGGGTGCGCCGACGTGGTATCTGGCATCCGATTGATCGATACGGACGCCCGAGGCCCCTGGTCAGGACGACGAGGAGTTCATGGGGCTGATCTTCCCGGGCTTCAAATCCGACGCCTTCATCTGGCAGGCCGCACGTGCAGAGGGGGAGAAGAGGTGCCGATGCCGCTACCGTTGCCTCGTTCTCGCCCTGTCGGTCATCCTGCGAGGCCATCGTCGCCACCGGTGGATTCGCTTCGAACCTCCTGGCCGGTGCATGTCGTAAATCTGCTGCTGAGCCTGAACCCTGCTTGACAGGCTGCTTCCGGGGGGTGGGTCCCCCTCTATGCCGTCTACTTGGGGGCGGCCAGGAGGGGGATGATGACCAGGGAGGCTGGGTATCATGGCGGGGGCAAGGTCATCTCCCCAGGTGTCATGGTGCCTCTTCTGAATTCAATACGTGCCTGGCCCCTCATCGGCCGCGCACTTGCCGCCGACCATGATCTGCCCACTCCCCTCTTGGACGCCCCCGATCTGCACGAGACCCGCGTCCCCCCACCGAAACAGCTGAGCTGAGCGCCTCCTCCTCCTCCTCTTCCTCCTCCTCCTCCTCCTCCTCCTCCTCCTCCTTGTGGGCAGCATGGAGCCGTTGATGGCAAAAATCCTCCTCCTCCTCCTCCTCCTCCTCCTCCTCCTCCTCCTCCTCCTCCTCCTCCTCCTCCTCCTCCTTGAAAATCCTCCTCCTCCTCCTCCTCCTCCTCCTCCTCCTCCTCCTCTCCCTCCTCCTCCTCCTCCCTCCTCCTCCTCCTCCTCCTCCTCCTCCTCCTCCTCATCCTCCTCCTCCTCCCTCCTCCTCCCTCCTCCTTCTCCTCCTCCTCCTCTCCTCCCTCCTCCTCCTCCTCCTCCTCTCTCCTCCTCTCTCTTGACCTCTCCTCCTCCTCCCTGCCTCCTCCCCCCTCCTCCTCTCCTCCTCCTCTCCTCCTCCTCCTCCCCCCTCCTCCTCCGCCTCCTCCTCCTCCTCCCCTCCTCCTCCTCTCCTCCTCCTCTCCTCCTCCTCCTCTCCCTCCTCCTCCTCCTCCTCTCTCCTCCTCTCCTCTCTCTCCTCTCTCCTCTCTCCTCTCCCTCTCTCCTCTCTCCTCTCTCCTCTCTCCTCTCTCCTCCTCCACCTCCTCCTCCTCCTCCTCCTCCTCCTCCTCGTCTGGCTGGCCGTTTCAGGCCGCAGCTCCCTCCTCGGCCGACCGTTCGGGCCGACCCCGAGCTCTCTGGAAAGGGCCCTCGGCCGGGCGCAGTCGACGAGAAAGCGCATCTGATGGGGCCCGAGGGCCTCTGGGGGTCGTGTTCAAGGGCACACAGGGCATCCGAAACGCTTCTCTTCTGGCAGGTCACGTGTGCGCAGGCGCTCGAGTTCGTGGTGTCCATGGCGCTTGGCCACGACAAGGCAAACCCCACGCCCTGCGTGCTCTACAACCTGGGGGCCTCGTGGGGGCCCGCGATCGCGCGGGGCCAGATCTGGCGGCTGGTGACCCCCGTGATGCTCCATGCGAACCTGACGCACCTGCTCTTCAACGTGTTTTTCCAGCTCCGCATGGGCTTCGGCATGGAGACGCAGTTTGGCCGCAACAAGATGATGCTGATCTACTTTGCCTGCGGGGTGCTCCCAGGGGAAGCCGTGCGCGCACGCGCAGCTGTGAGCTCAAGAGCTGTCTCTCCCCCCCCTGCACGCCGAAGCCTTGTTGATGCGGCCTCCCCTCCTTCCACGCGCGGCGAGCATGTCCGCATCCGCGCCCCTTGCGGTCTGGATTCCTGGGCGCGATCCCGTGGATACGCGGTCGTACGCTTAAGTCGGGCTTGCCCTTGTACAGGAGGAAAATTCAAAAATTGTAATTAAAAAAATGCTCTGGGGACGAGTTTTCGACCATTGTTTGGCAATGTCTGCGTATTATTGGTCTGTTCTTGAATGTTTCGTCCGATATTTTGCCTGTAGGAGGACATGCCCGACCCAAACGTACGGATGCGTTCCGCGTGGGGCATCCGCGGCCGCGAATATGGATGCGTTCTTCGCCTACGAACCCCAACCCCCGACGTCATCATTGTTTCATGACGTCGACCCCCAGAGGTCTAAACCCGTTCCCCAGGACCAGCTTGTCGTCCTGAGTAGTTTTTAATGCTTAATGGTCTTGGGGCCTGGTAAGGGACTCCAGAGGCCGAAAATAGAGAAATACTTCCGAAAATAGAGAAATACTTCCTGTCATTGTTTTTTTTTGCGTTCCATGACCCGAGGGGGTCTGGGATATATTTTTCACCGGCGATCCCCAGGTGTTCGGAAACCTCCTGAGCGCCGCGGCGGACCCCTTCAAGCTGGCGGTGGGCGCGTCCACCGCCGGTTTCGGGCTGATCGGCGTGTGGCTGGCGGAGACGGGGCGGGGCGGACAAGCGGCGGACGCACTGGCAGCTCCTGGCAGGGGAGGGGGTCAGAGGCGCCAGAGGTCATGACCTTGATACGTTCCAAGGTTTTCTGGATGTCCTGGACTTCCTGATTCCTTGATGCCCCGCACGGACTGCAGAAGCGAGGGCTGCTACGGTCAGGGAGTTGTTGCTCAGCGTGTCGCTCTGCCGGTCCTGGCCCACCACGCTTCGGCGAGACACGCTATTCACGTCCCCATTCCCAGGCGTCAATCAGCCACGCGCAAAGGGGGGTGGGAGGAGGGGGGAGGGCTTCTTAGAAGCACCCCTGCTTCTTAGAAGGCGCGGGCCTGATCTGCAGATGCAATGCCAGCGCCTTCTAAGAAGCGGCCTCCCTCTAAGAAGCCTTCCCCCCTCCCTCCACCCCCTTGTGTGCGCCGCTGAGTCAAGATCCCGAGTTTTCCCCAGCCTCTCGCCATGCTGAGCGAAGCGACACGCTATCCACTCGCAGGGCACAGCTTGTCGCCAGGGCCGCCGCCACGACTCGCGAAGCAACAGTTCCCGACCGTAGAGATCGAGGAAGACCAAGCGGCATGAACATAGCCTTTCGGAGCTCCGCGCGCATTCTTCGGATCGGCGCTCAGCCCCCGCTGGTGGCGCCTCCGACGCCGCCCCCGGCGCTCCCCGCTCGCCAGGGAGGGGTGTTCGGCGCAGATCCGAGAAATCCGCGCGGACCTCGGAAAGTTTATGTTCATACACTTCTTGTTCCTCGTTCCTCTAAGATGTCTATACGACCACCCTTCGGATGATGTGGAGGTTCGGGGGGGGGGCGGAGGGGGAACCAACATTCCATTCCAACTTCTGATCTCACCCCGATCACAGTTTCGATCTCACAGCGGATCTCATTATCGGTCTCACTATCGCTTTGGCAATTGAACTCGTTATCGAGCCCACATGCGATCTCACGATCGATCTCCAAATCGATCTCACCATGAATCTCACACTCGGGCTCACGATCGATCTCACAACAGATCTCACTATCGGTCTCATCATCGATCTCACGATTGGTCTCACAGTCGATATCACAATCGATCTTGAAGTCAATCTCAGTACACACGTCAGTGATCCCACTATAGATCTCACGAGCGATCTCACCATATCTCACACTAGATCACAATGTCGACGTCACAACAGAACTCACTATCGATCTCACTGCCGATCTCACAATCGATCTCACAATCGATCTCATTATCGATCACACGATCGATATCACATATGATCCCACTAATGATCTCACAGTCGATGCCACCATCGATTTGACGATCGAAATCACTATCTATATCACAAGTGATCTCACGATCTATATCATAACATGCCTCACCATCGATCACCAAGTTCATATCACCATCGATCTGGTATGCGAACTCACTACCGATCTCACATTCGGAATCACGATTGATCTCACAATCGATCTCACAATCGATCTCACTCGGTATCACAATCGATGTCACAATCGATCTTACTGTTGATCCCACTATCGATCTCACAATCGATCTCACTAACAGATCCCACATGATCCCACGATTGATCTCACAACAGATCTCTCACGCTCGATATCAACCAGATCTCACAATCGATTTCATTGTCGATCTCACTCGATCTCATCGCCGCGCCACCGACGGGACACCCCGCGCCACCGACGGGACACCCCGCGCCACTAACGGGACACCGCCGCGCCACCGACGGGACACCGACGCGCCACCGACGGGACACCCCCCGCCACCGCGCGCCGGGGTGGGTGGGGGAGACAACCAGCTCCAAAGCCCTTAACCACGGCGGCATCGTCCATCTCGCGCTCACGCAGCTTCGCCTCGCTCGCACGCACGACACGAAAACGAAACCGAAACCGATGTCCCGATGGGCTCTCCGCTCCACTGCGATCTCACCCCATCACCTCTGACGGTGGGAGCCCTTACCTGATCAGGGCGGCGGTGATATGCAATGCCCATTCACGATTGGAGTTCCACCTGTTTCCAGACCCTTGATTCCTTATCTTATCCAATGGGGCCGTATCCAGCGTCCTCGCCGTAGTCCCTGGAAATCCTCGAGCGCATCCTAAGCCAGTCCTATCACAGCCCTGCTCTCGTCCCAGGGGGTGGCGGGGAGCAGGAGCGGACGGGCAGGAGAGCAGCGGGAGCGGGCAGTAGCTGTGGCTTGAGAGGAAGCGCTGAGGAGGATGAGGAGAAGGAAGCGCTGAGGAGGACGAGGAGGAGCTCGGCAGGGGGGGGGGCTTACCCCTCCTCGTGTTCCCCTCCTCGTCCTCGGCCTCGTTCACTATAGTGTCGCTCCGTTTTTTCGAATGGGCGATTGACTACAGAATTGACTGACCCGCTCGCTTGGTGCATTTCAGTGGCACCATCTTTCGTCGCAGGGGAGTGCGGCTGGTCTGCGAGAAGTGGTTCTTGCTACAGCGTGTCGGGGGGAGGGGGACGGGCAGGAGAAGCGCAGAGCTGCTCGATTGCGAGGGCGACGGCACAGAAACAACAGAAACAGCGTCACTCGAAGAAGAAACAGTTGCATAGACGTAAGCTTTCGGAGCTCCGCGCGGATTTCTCGGATCGGCGCTGGACCCCCCTCCCTGGCGCGCGGAGCGCGCCAGGGGCGGCGCGGGAGACGCCGCCAGAGGGTCCCAACGCCGATCCAAGAAGTCTGCGCGGACCTCCGAGTGGTTACGTATGTTTATGCCGCTTTTTCTTCCCCTGATCACCTCGCCAGTTTGAAACGCATCCATATCCCCATGCTCGCCATCACCTCTCCTTGGTGCCGACCTTAAGGATTCCATCGGCGCACCCCTACGGCTGTCATCGTCGGCGCTCCTGGCGTGCTCCGGCGCAGACTCAAGAAGCCCGGGCGGAGCGCCAAAAGTTTCTGTTGTTGGCGTTGTTCTTCTTCTAATCTCACCCCACGTCCGCACCGCTTTCGTGTCGTGGTGTGGGTCCGTCTCCTCTTGCGGGGGGGGTGGGGGGAATGGGGGGAAGGGGGGGGGGGGTGGAAGCGGCGGCCGCCCGGGAGCGGCAGGGCAAGAGGGTGTGTTCGGGCGGAGTGCGCGCGCGCGCCTCCGGGGTTGGGGCAGAGGGAGGGGGGGAAGTGGGAGTGGGGGGGGGGAGGGGAAAGGGGACAGGGGGCGGGGGGGGGGGACGAGCGAGGGGGGGCAGAGGACGAGGACGGGCAGGAGGAGGAGCCAGAACCCTGAGAAAGAGGACTCGGCAGATCAGCCAACATGGAAAAAAGCCCACTCCATCGGAAGGTGTGTATTGGGGCCTTGATCGCGCGAGTGGGAAAGCCCTGCTGAGGGGCAGCGGGTTTCTAGATATTGGAAAATAGAATCGAGTATAGCCAGGACCCTGGGTAAGGTGACCCGGTTAGCGGTAGTACCCTGGGGCCCCTCAATTGGCCAGATTCACTAAACCAGGTTTGCCGTAACTGGTGTTTTTCGGGTGACGGCAGTTCAGGTTACTGGAAATAGGACGGGGTGGCGCCCCCGGTGCAAATCACTAAACCAGGTTCCACTAAGCCCAGTTCTGCCAACGCCCGATAGAAGTCATCCTGCTTCCCCCCTTCCACATCCGCGAGGAGGAGGAGGAGGAGGAGGAGGAGGAGGGGGAGGGAGTGGGCTGGCCCAACCTGGGCGGCCCAGGAGATCTTGTTGTCGTGGGAGATCCTGGGCCCAGCTAGGGAGCGGACCATCATCTGGATCGCCTTCATGCTCATCTCGGTGACCACCATGTCCTCCATGACGCCGAACATGGACCTGGTCGGCCACTCCCGCCCGCCTCCGCGCCCTGGTCTCCCTCCACCGCTTGTCGCCACGCTGCGTGACACTGCCGGGCCCCTTCCTCGTCCTCCTGAGGAGGATGCGCCCCCCCCCCATCGATCCTTCCCCTCATGTTCCTCGCCATCATCATCATAGCCATCATCACCACAACCATCAGCATCGCCATCATCCTACATCATCATAGTTTCATCATATCATCGTCATCATCATCAGCATCACCAACATTCATTATCATCATCATCAGCACCAGCATGATCATCATCATCATCATCATCATCATCATCATCATCATCATCATCATCATCGTCATCGTCATCGTCATCGTCATCATCATCAGCAGCAGCATCATCATTCACCGCCGCGCGGATCGAGCTCGAGTCGGGCGGGGGAGGTTTAGACCATGGCGCTCAAACGCTAGAGCGTGCAGACGCTTCGGTCTTACCCGCTGGTGGCATGCAAGTGCGCCGTGCAGCGCTCCTGGAGGAAGGCAGTATAACAATTGTCCCTTGTGCTCTCGAACCGGTCCTTCACCGACGTCGGGGAGAGCAGGTCCAGCCGTTGTGGTTGTTATATTTGTTGAGATTGGGTGCATGTACGCTCGACCATACGACATGCGAGTCGGGGCTGTTCTGGCCCTCCCCTACATCATCGTCCGCGTCAAGGGTACGTGCAGGAATGGCCTCGGTTGCCCCTCCATTGATGTGGAGCACGGACTAATTCGAGAACATCAGCCACATCATAGCGCCATTTCGGCCATAGAAGCAGCTATGGTTTTATGCGCAGCACTCTTTCTCCTCGCAGCTGTGTCCAGGACGCTGTTTTCCCCTGCCCGTCGCCCAGCGTCTTCCCATACGTAGAGATCACGAACGTAATCGAAGTCGAGGTGAGGGGAGAATGGGCCGATATTGGATGTTCAATTCACCGACCGTTGTGTTTTTCATTTCATGTGTTGGGCGGGCGAGGGGGAGGAGCCCTGGCACTAATGGGTTGCATATTTGAACCTTTTCCTGTTTCGAAGACTTCTAATCAACTGCCTCAATCCAACGGCTCCAAAATTCCAAGCAAATTTGTTGTGCCGAGAGGGATCGATTTGCTCTCCCTTTGTCGCATCGTGCGGAAACCGTGTTGATTGGGCGGGGTCGGAACCAGAGCGCATCAGAAGCGCCTTATCACCAGAGGAGTGCACTGTAGGCATGCTTGCCATCATCAACCCGCTGAACTACTCACTCCTTGCCTCCCGTAGGGGGTGGTTCTGTGCGCATCACGCCAATGCCACCTCCTCCTTCCTCCTCACCCGCGTTGCCTCCAGAAACCCAGACTCCTCAGAAAGCGTTCTGACACCCACGACACTGAGATAGATTCCTCCATCCTCCTCTGTCGTCCTCCTCGCTGCCCTCCTCATTTGGCTCGGAAGCCGTTAGACATCTCTGGCAACTGCCGAAAACCGGCACAACGCGTAGAACATCATCCTCCGTCATGCTTATCCTCCCCGACTTTTGCTTCTGCATCCTCATCCCCACCCTACCTCCGACAGTCAAACCGCATAGCAAGGATGAGTGACTTTCCAAGGTTGCCCTTGCATCCTTCCCCTCTGGCCCGTCTTTGGCCGCTTTCGCTGGCCGCGCCCCCCTCACAGAGTGTTTGGCGGCGAGCCCGGGGAGAAGTGAGAAGGAGAAGGCCTTCTCAGAAGATTCGGTGGAAGTCCCCTGGCCGTCTGAGCAGTTGTCTTAGCCTTCCCCGAAGACACACCACACTTTTAGAAAGCGCGAGAGTTTCTGAGAAGTCCCGCCGCCTTCTGAGAGGGTCTTCTCCTTCTCCCCTCACTTTCGTAGTCCCCAAACGTGGTGGTGACAACACCCGGCGGTGAGTCTCGGGCGTTTTGGTGTCACCCCCCGGTTTGGGGACTCCCGTGCTTTTTCGAGGATGTCTCGGACGCTGGTGGGTCCAGGAGTTACAAGGCCCGGCGGTGACCCCGTGTCCCCAAACCCGGCGGTGACTTTTTTGGTGATTCCAGGCCATCACTTGATATCTCACCACCTGGTTTGGGGGCTCCGTCGCCCGCCGCCGATCATTACACGGGCTGGCTGTACTCCTCTTCCTGAGGTCGGCCACCTCGGAGGCGCGCTCGGCGGCTTCCTCCTCTCCATCGTCATCAGCGACATGAGCGAGGAGGACCGGCCCGAGTGGTACCCGCAGGCGCGGGGAGGAGGGCCAGGAGGAGGAACTGGGAGGAGGAGGAACTGGAGGAGGCGGAGGAGGAGGAACTGGAGGAGGAGGAGGAGGAGGAGGAGGAGGAGGAACTAGAGGAGGAGGAGGAGGCGGAGGAGGAGAGGAGGAGAACCAGGAGGGGGGCGCCCTCGAGGGCGCGACGGTGTTCGCGCGTCGCGCTGCGCGGGTCGGCTCCGATGCCTCCTCGCCCTCCCCTATACTCCACAGGGGAGCGGCGAGGGAGCGCAGAGTTCTTCGCGCTGCGCGAAGCGCGAGCCGCGTGGTGATGCGCCCTTTTTAGGGAGGAAAGACAGGGGCGCAGCAGGGGGGCGAGGAGGGGGGCGACGAGGAGGAGGAGGAGGGGGCGGGAAGAGGGATGACGAGGAGGAGGGGAAGGGGGAGGAGGGGGACCAAGACGGCGAGAAATGGGGAAGGCGGAAGAGGAGGAGGAGGAGGAGGAGGAGGAGGAGGAGGAGGAGGAGGGGAATGGGAGGGGGAGGGGGAGGAGCAGGAGGAACTGGAGGAGGAGGGGGAGGAGGAGGAGGAGGAGGAGGAGGAGGAGGAGGAGGAGGAGGAGGAGGAGGAGGAGCAGCAGCAGCAGCAGCAGCAGCAGCAGCAGCAGCAGGCGGAGAGGACGGAGGGCACGGGGCACGAGTGGGGGGGGAGGGCGCGGCCAGGCCCGGGCCGCGGCGGCGCTCGGCCTCTGCCTCTTCCTGGCGGGGGGCCTCGGCAAGGCTCGGCGCCGGCCGGGCCTGCCTGCCTGCGCGCGCGCGCCCCGCCTCTCGGAGAGTGTGGACGTCTCGGTCGGGAGCGTCGGCTTAGCGTTACGTCGGGCCTGTCCCTCTGCAGGAGGAACGTTCAAGAATAGTCCAAAAATAGTCGGGGGGGCGTTTTTGAAACTATGTTTGACCATTTGGGAGTATTGTGGGGGAAATTTTTAATTTTTCGCCAGAATTCCCTCAGTAGGGGGACATGCCCGACTTAAGCTTAGCGTTACGTCGGGCACGCCCCTCTGCTGGAGGAAGATTCAAGCATAGCCAGAAGGTAGTCGCGGCACGATGGTTCTACTAATTCGGTATTTCTGGATTCCCAGATTCCAGCCTACTTCAAGCGCCTCCCTACTTCAATGACCGAGGGGCTTCAACTTTTGTCGTCCTCCTGAGGGAGCGGACGGAATTCGATCTACTCTCAACGCCTTCCTACCTCATGTTCCTCCAGACTTCGTCCGACCGATGGGTACGTCGGGCACGTCCTGCTACAGATTTAACTATTCAAACATAGTCACACATAGTTCAGGGCCGATGCTCCGACCAACACCCATCATTTCTGAGTATGTTTTGCCTATGGCTTAGCTTTCCTCCAGACTCCGCCTGTAGGAGCACGCGCCCGACCCCCGCGCAGCGCGTCGCGCCGCGGGCTCTGGCCCGCGGCGCTTCGGCGCGCCGCGCTAATCTCCACGTCCCGGCCCCCGAGCGTCAGCGCCCCGAGCCTCTCCTCCTCCTCCTCCTCCTCCTCCTCCTCCTCCTCCTCCTCCTCCTCCCCCTCCTCCTCCTCCTCCTCCTCCTCCTCTCCTCTCCTCCTCCTCCTCCTCCTCCCCTCCCCCTCCTCCTCCTCCTCCTCCTCCTCCTCCTCCTCCTCTCCTCCTCCTCCTCCTCCCCCTCCTCCTCCTCCTCCTCCTCCTCCTCCACCTCCTCCTCCTCCTCCTCGTCCTGCCTCGCGCAGCGGAGCGGCCCGCTGACCGCCGGCAGGGCGCAGCGCGTCGCCGAGGCCGCCGCGGCGACACGCCGAGCAGGGGCTCCCGACCGCAGGTGGCGGCCCCTGGGAGAGGTGGGGTTCAGCATCGGCGCTTGTAGATCCGTGGTATCCCGCGCAAGCTGGCGCAAGCCTGCCCGATTCGGGATGCATTTCCCGCTCCACCTGGCCCAGCCTGGCCCGGTCGCCAACTCCTTGGGCTCCATAGCCCGGAACCGTTCCTGCGCGCACCTGCAAAGAGTTTCCTCCTACAGTGGGGGCGCGCATCAAGAAACCATGTGCTTTTCGTCAGGGTATCCTGGGTTTCTTCGCTCCGCGCGCTGGGCGGTGACTCCCCGCAGCCGTTGAGGAAGCTGCTGAGTTCAGGTTTCCCCTGGGGTGCACCTCGCGCGCGGGTTTTCAGGGCTGGGTTTATTGCGAGAGTTTCTTGCGGCCGCGCCCGCACTGTAGCCCATCGGTCGCTGAAAACACGTATTTCGGGGGCCACCGTTTCCAAGATACTCTACGCGCCCTCCCAGTTCAAGGATGGAGTGTCTTCTTCCCTGCTCCTTCGATTCTGTTGGGGGGGCGGGCGGAGATCCGATCTGCTCCCGACGCCCTCCTACTTCGTGCGTCCGCCCGCTTCTTCCGGCCGACTGGCAGGTGCCATGCGGAAGCGGAACACCGAGGCGGGAATGTATGCATGACCACCGCCTGGAGGATCAATGTTCGGGGACCTCGGCAGGTGGTGGATGTGGATGTATTCGGGCCCCCGGGGGCCAACACATATCCACATCCAGCGCCCGCTGGGGCACCCGGGCGTCGCTTCCCAGGCGGTGGATATGGAGGAATCCCCGCCTCGCAAGAATGCCCAGAGGCCACGATGATGAGACGCTCCAGAATTGCCAGGATTTCAGGACTGCCTGCTGTTGCGCGCGGACTCCAGAGACGAGGCCCGCCAGATGTTTCGGAATGCCTGGAACCTATCCCGAGCCAATCGCGTCATGATAGTACTCTCGCCCAGCAGAGGCAAGAGGCGAAACAACACATTGCTTAAGCATGCGGCAGGTTCGCGTCGGGCCGACTGGCGGCGGCCCCGGCGCGTGCGCTGAAGGTTGAACGCCGCCCGTGGCCCAGAGTCGGCCCGTCGTTGAAGATCTGGCGTTCACGGAAGGCCGATCGTTCAAGTTTGAACGATCCTCTCGGGCCGGACGAAAGGCGGGGATAGGGAAAGGGGGGGCTACGAAACTTGCTGCTGCATGCAGCTGGTTTCGGCCTCACCGAGGGGCCCATTCCTCGATACATGGCCGCCTCCAGCGCCAGGAGGCGCCGGGAAAATCAACTACGTGAGCTGATTCTCCCCCCCCCTTTGCTATCCCTCCCTTTCGCCCGACCCGATAGGAACCAAGGCAGGGGTCGACACGACGCGAACCTGCCGTAAGCATTCGGAGGTCAGCGCGGACGGTGTCTCTCCGGCGTGGGGCACCCCGGCGGCGCGCTCCTCTCGCCGCCTTTGGCGCGCTCCGCTCGCCGGGGGGTGGGGGGCCCTTGGCCGGTCCAGGAGATCCTCGCGGACCTCGGAAGTCGACTGCACGTAAGAGTGGCCCTTCGCCAGAGTGACCCCTGGTGCGGGCACAGGTGGGTCCCGCGATCGCTGAGCGCGATGCGATGGTGGCGTCTTGCGCGCTTGTGGTTGCCCCCCCGCGGCCCTCAAAAAGCCGCGCAGCAGAGGTCACTCTTACCCAGGGTCACTCCTGCGTGCAGCCGAGGAAGGTTTCTGGCGTGCCGTTGCCTGTTTCAGCGGAAGAAGGTCGCTGAAATCAAGTCGGGCTTGTCCCTCTACTGGGGGAACAACCAAAAATAGTCCAAACATACTCTGAAGACGAGTTTGTTTGGACTATATTCGGGCGAAGGGAACTATGCGCATGCACCGATCCTGGCAAGGCACATCCTTGACCCAGGATCGGTGCATATGCCTTCCTGGCCAAGGTAGGAGGGCGTATGCACCGATCCTGGGCTCAGGATGGGCCTGGCCAGAATCGGTGTATGTGCATAGCTCCTTTTCCTTTATATATTTTCGAATATGTGTAGGTGTTCGTTGTCCCAAATCCGCCTGTAGCAGGGCACGCCCGACCTCACGCTAAAAGGGGAGCGGCAGCACAGGGCTCGGGCTGAAGAATGGTGTCTGTGCGATGTCGTGGGCCGTTGCCGTTCTGATCTCGTTGCGCCGCCGGGGCAGAGCGAAGACGTGACGAAGGACAGCGAAGACCAAACGAAAACACAAGCCACGCCGCGTAGCTCGAGCCCTGCCGCAGCGTGTTCGTTCGCGTGCTCGGTTCCTTTTCCGGGCCCCTGGAAGCGGCCGCAGACTCAGACCTCTGCGGAGGCCTCTGGAGAGACTTCTGGAGACCTCCGCGGTGAACTTTTTTGGACACCCCGGCTCCCGTACCTTTTCGGATGCAACTCCTGGGAGGTGCGACGCAAATGGGGCTTACGACGAGAACCTCATGGGGCTGAATCCTTTTTACTCGTGTAGTACCCTCGAGACAGCACGAGCATCTTCTTGCCGTGGCGTGCGCATGCCCATCACGAGCGGCGCACATGTCCGCATCCGCGCCCTCGCAGCCCGGATCCTGGGGCGCGACCTGGCGGGCACGCGGCCGCACGGATGCCCTCCCGGGCGGGGCCTCCGCGAGGGCATGCCCCGCACCCGCGGGGCCGCGGCCCCGGGGCTTCGGCCCGCGAGGCCGCAGATGCGGATGCTCTCTTCACCCACGGGCCCGGGCCCCTGATGCACGGGGCTCGCGACCTCGGGGCCGCTCCGGAGCCTGTGCGGGGGCGCTGTTCGCTCGGCACCGCGTGCGCTCGCTGTGCGGGCAGCTACTGTGCGCGGCATGTGCCCCGCAGGCGTGCTGTCAGAATGGTCCCGGTGTGCGCCGCAGGGCCGCACGAACAAGCCACGACGGGCGTCCGGTCTCCATGTCGGCCTCCTGTCCAGGGTAGAAAAACCCGCCCAGACCGATAATTGGCGTTTCCTAAACGGCCCTGGGCGTTCACTAAGCAGCCCTGCCCTGCTTGATTCATTCTTTGGGTGCGTTTACTGAACAGCCCTGGGCGTTGATTAAGCAGCCCTGCCCTGTTGGATTATTCTTCGGGGTGCATTTACCAAGCGACTTCGCGTGTCGGGGTGATCATTACGAGGGTGGATTTCCTGGTTTCTATCCTGAAGTCGGGCATGTCCCTCTACAGGAGAAGTATTCGAAAACAGTGAAGAAAATAGTCAGGGGACGATGTTCCGACTACTGTTGACTATTTGGGGGTACAGTGGGGACCCATGCCAAGAAACACCCTGGTCGCATCCAGGGTGCCCTGGATTTCTTGGGTTTCCACTGTTTTTCCATGCAAAGCGTGACGCTCCCACACCAAAAATCAATGGATGTCCTGGGGTCTCAGGGGTGGGTTTCTTGTGGAAGGGTTCTTGTGGACCGACCTCCACTGCATGTTTTGACAATTTGTCACTCGTCCTCCGCCTGCAGTAGGAGGACATGCCCGACCTGATTCTACTCTGGGCGCCAGCACAGCACCCCCAGGGGCCCACGCCGCGCACAGCCCAGGGCCCCCCCTCCCGCCCCGCAGGACCGCCCCCGCCAGGGCCCGTTTCGATGCGTTTCGGCTTCGATGGCTTCCGATTCCGATTCCGATTCGGCTTCGGATCCCGATTTGGGCTCCGATTACTCAACGGTGGCCCGCTGGCCTGCCGATCTCTCCCGATTCGATGTTCCCCGACCTGGCTGCCGACTTCCGCCGATCCGATGAATTCCGGTCGCCGATTCGACTTATCGATTCGCTGCTGGGCTCTCCTGCCCGTCGCCGCCGCTCGTCTCGCCGTGAGCCCCACGAGGCCCGAGGCCGAGACTCATCGCCGCAGTTGTCAGTTCGAAGGCCTGACTCACCGAGCGCGTTCCGCCAGGTGAGCGTTTTCTTATTCGGCGTTTCGGCATTGGGCGGAAGGGCGAGGAGGAGGAGGAGGAGGAGGAGGAGGAGGAGGAGGAGGAGGGGGAGGAGGAGGGGGAGGAGGAGGGAGGGGGAGGGGGAGGAGGAGGAGGAGGAGGAGGAGGAGGAGGAGGAGGAGGAGGAGGAGGAGGAGGAGCAGGAGGAGGAGGAGGAGAAGGGAGGAGGAGGAGGAGAAGCAGGAGGAGGAGGAGGAGGAGGAGGAGGAGGAGGAGGAGGGCGGGTCGCCTAAGCCCTTCAGAGAAACCCTCCAGGGAGGGGGAGAGATGTCTGGCTCCGGACCTCTGCTTAGTGCGACTGTTTGCAGGCAGTGCGTCCTATGGGGGAGGGTCCACCTGCTCGAAACAGGCGCTAGAAGCAGCCACGCTCTACTCCACGGGGAGGGCGGAGGGGGGGCCCGCGCCGATCGGCACAACAATGGATCAGAAAACGCGCACCCCACGCGCAGAGTGCCTACTCGCCAACGTCCATGACAGCAGATATCGCCCTGCTGACGGCGCCCCCGTGGGATGCTCGAGAGCCATGCCTGTTGCACCGCGGTGGTCATGGTAGCTATGAGAAGGGACACGCTGGCCGTCCAAAACGGCAATGTTGCTTCCCACGTCGCGGCGATCTGAGCGCGAGCGGGCCCGTCTCAGATCCCTGGCGATTCGTCCACGGGATGCCCAAGTGCAGTGCTTGTTGCATCGCGGTGATCATGCGGCCTAGGAGGCACAAGTCTCAGATTCGCGCCCTCGCGATGGTCAGTGGGCTCTATCTAAGAGCGAGCCTGAGAGATCTCTGAGCGTCGCTGATGAGTATGGCTCAGCCTGAACATGGGTCTGAGCGTGTATGAGTCTGAGCATGAGTGATCTGAGCATGAGTGAACTTGAATATGGGTCAGTATTGGTATGCTTGAGTTTTCGTATGAGCGAATCTGAGTATGAGTAGTCAGAGCTCAAGGTAATATGAGTGTGGGTGAGTCTGCATACGAGCGAGCCGAATAATGCGTCTGGGTCTGCAAAGTTTGCCCACAAGGGAGTCCTGAGCATGAGTGAGCATGAGTGCCTGTAAGTCTGAGCACGAGAGGGTCTGAGTGTGAGTGGGTCGCTGAGCTCTGGAAGTCTGAGCAGGAGTGCTCTGAGCGCTAGTGATTCTGAGTGCGAATGGGTCGGACGCGGCGGGTTGCGAGGCGCCGGGCCTCACTGATAACAAGAGCCCCACGTTCAGAATTCGGGGAAACAGTGGATGATACATATATGTCCCTCTGGATCTGCATGTGATCGTTTCTTTATTAGTTGTTTTGCCGATCGGCGCGGGCCCTCGCACCCCCCCCCTCCCACCCCCATGGAGTAGATCTTGGCTGTTTGGGGCGCCTGTTTCGAGCAGGTGGAGCCCCTTCCCCATAGGACGCGCTGCTGCAAACAGTCGCACTAAGCCAAGGTCCGGAGCCAGAACCCCCCCGTCCCCCCCCCCTTCCGCCCAATGTCGAAACGCCGAGTAAAAAAAACGCTCACTATTGAGTACGGTCGGACCTAGGATATAACAACATCCTTCAAGAGCATGAGATCCTCCGCCATTCTGAGCACCCCAAAGCATCAGATCACTCGAGGGCTTCCTCCCCCAGGATGCAGCATTCAACAAGCACGAAGAACAGTATGGCACCCTCCCCGAACTTGCCTCCATCTTCTAGACACATGGCGTTTGAACAGTGTTCTGCCGCTGGGGTCCTCGCCGGGCCCGGGGACCGTCAGAAACGGCTCGGCATCGAGTCTGAGAGCGCTTCCCGTCATCCGCAGGGCTCGTTTAGATAGCTCCGATTCGATTCCGTTCGACTTCGATGGTTTCCGATTCCGATTCGATTCCGTTCGGCGCCGATTCCTCAATGGATGCTTACCAGCCTGCTGATTCCCGCCGATTCGACTCCTCCCGACTCTGCCGCCGATTCCCGCCGATCCGATTCACGTCGATTGCCGAGCCGACTTCTCGATTCGATTCTGGGTGTTCCTGCATCCGTTGGCAGGCTGGGTCCACGACCCCCGAAGCCGAGACTCGTATAGATCACCGCCTGTGGAGCCGGTCTTCGTGAAGCGAAGGGGGCGGCGTATGTGGACAAAATCGATCGCCCCGGCTAGTAAAGCCTACCCCACCCCTTAACTCTTGAGAGCTGATTGTCCCCGGCCAATGCAGATTTGGTCGGGGGAGAGGGGCGGCAAGGCCGAATTTGATTATCGCGGGGGAAAGTTGCGAATCGAAGTTGAGATCTTCTGATGTTGAGTAGCAAGGATTCCTATGAATTTCCTGCGGAATCCTATGGATTTCCTAAGGAACCGTATGGATTTCCTCAGGATTCCCATGAGTCTTATGCGGGAGCCCAAGGCCGAAGTGTATTCACATCCACCTCTTCCCCTGGAAGGATCGGTGCTCTGGGCAGTGGACGTGCATGTCGTGATGCGACCTCCGGCGGTGCGCTGTGCGCTGCAGTCTTGAGACAGAGGAGGCCCATGCCAAGGAACACCTCCGCTTGCCTCCAGGGTGCCCTGGGTTTCTTGGGTTTCGAGGGTTTGGCTATGGAGAGCGTGACGTGCCCACCGTGTGCCAAGGACGCCCTGGAGCCTCAGGGTTCGGCTTCTTGTGGAGGGTCTCCTGCGGTCGGGCCCCGACTCTACAGTGCCGTTTTTGATACATGCTACGCGTGCGGATCATGTTCTAAAAATGCAGGGATTTCGTAGTAGAAACACCGCTGAGCTCATGAAACAATAATTCATACATTCATCATGTATTTTAAGAATCCCGTATGTTGAAAATCCTGTGTGTTGAAAGCTGCCCTGCAGGGGTCCAGCTGTAGAAGCTGTGCCGGGTGAGACTGGCCCTCGCCGCGTGCGCCGAGGGAGGCCGCAGAGGGCAGCCCCCCCCTCGCTCGAGCCCCGCGGCAGTGCCGCCCGGCAGGAGGCCGGCCGCGCCGCGGGCAGGCGCTCCGTGGTGCCTCGGCCCTCCGCGTGCCCAGAGCCGCGGGGGCCGCGCGGAATGGCTCGCCGGGAAGTCGGGCGTGTCCCTCGACGGGAGGGAGACTCAAAGCATAGTCGAAAAAATAGGCCGGGGGCGATGTTTTGTGCTGTTTTGGGGGCGTCTTGGGGAGCATGCTCTGATGGCTATTGTTTCCCTCCGTCCAGAATCCGCCTGTAGGAGGACACGCCCAGCCGAAGGTTAGCTCTTTGGTGGGGGCTGCGCGGACTCAGATTGGACCTCGCCATCCCTGGGGGACTTCGGAGTTTGAAGTTGTCGTTACTCTCGCGGGCTGCTTGGGGGGGGGGGGGTCGTCGAGGGATACGCGGATGCATAGTACACCTCGCCAGCCTGCCACGCAAAGGTGATGATCATGAACCCGCACGACCCGATCCCGAACTGCCCGCTGCTCCCCAGCCTCGCCTCGGCGGTGGCGCCGGCGCTGCGCCGCTGAGCGACAGCAGGGTGCCGGGGATCCCTGGCGCCCAGCTGGCGAAGGAGGGGCCCGCCTGCCCAGCCATGTCTCACGCCCTCCTGCTCTCGGAGATTATTCTTGGGGGGTCGGCGGGCACCAGCGGGGCAGGTACCGGTCAAGCATCGGGAGGGGCGCTCTGGAGACGAGGGGCGGCACGGAGGGCGCCAGGCAGAGGGGAGAGGCGGAAAAGGAAGAGCCAGGGTCAGGACATGAGGTCGCACTCGGAGACCAAACAAGGACAGAAACAAACACGATCGGAGGTCCGCGCGGACCTCTGATCTTCCTCCTTTTTCCCCTCTCCAAGCTCGGAGCTGGGTCCTCCACACACTGCGGGAAGGGGCGCGCCTGGAGGGGTCACGGTCAAAATCGGCGTTAGGGATGAGCCCTCACCTTCGCATCCTTTGATGTTGGACTCCCTTTAATCACGTGCGGTATGCTTTCTCAGTGCAAGGGTAACCCAGGGAAGCCATTAAGACCCCCCCTTCTGGCGAACCGATGACGCATCCAGCACCCGGAGGTGTTATGCTGGCACCCTGAGAAGGAGAGGAGGAGGAAGAGGAAGAGGAGGAGGAGGAGGAGGAGGAGGAAAGGGAGGAGGAGGAGGAGGAGGAGGAGGAGGAGGAGGAGAAGGGGGCGGGGGCGGGGGAGGGGGAGGAGGACAGGGGTGATGATGATGATGATGATGATGATGATGATGATGATGATGATGATGATGAGGAGGAGGAGGAGGAGGAGGAGGAGGAGGAGGAGGAGGAGGAGGAGGAGGAGGCGGCAGCTGTAGATTTCGGTCTGGGGGGGCTGGGAATGCTTATTTCTGTTTGCGTTTGGGTGCGGTGCTAACCATCTCGCTCGGCCAAAGCTGCCCCCGCCCCGCAGTGTGGACACCGCCCCTGGAGTTGGGCGAGAGGGGAGGAGGAGCCGGAGGAGGAGGTCCTGGCGTCACGGTTTTGTGCCACGCCGCCCAGTCTCGCCCGCCGTCGTGCCCCCCGGGGGCCCTCCCGACGATCGGCCTGGCTCGAGAACAGCACGGGACGACGCGGTCTGGCCCTCCGATCGCCACCTCTCGCGGGGTTGCGCCACACCGGATCTCAGGGAAGGAGGAGGGAGGAGGGCGGGAGGAGGAGAGGCAGGATGGGGAGGATCGGGAGATCGAGGATCAGGGTTTTCGGTCGGCTCCAGAGTCTCTACGGGCCTCCCGAGACCTCCGAGAGGCTCCAGGGATTCCTCTGGGGACCACCATGAGACCTGCGGAGGCCTCCGAGGAGCTCTGGAGATCTGGGGGGGCGATCGGGGAGGACCCAGGGCTCCGACGTTTGCAGCAGCAGCAGGACGGCCGGCTGCCCACATCCTGAGATGGGTGTCTTGTCAGTAGTATGCCACTTCCGCTTCCTCACTACCGGCTTCTCCCCACTCATATTATTTAGTCGGGCTTGTCCCTCTACAGGAGGGATATTCGGAAATACTCAAAAAATAGTTTGTGGATGATTTTTTGAGTATAGTTTGACCATTTTTGGGAATTATTTGGCTACTGTTTATTTTTCGTCTCAATTCCCCCTGTAGGGGGACAGGCCCGACTTAATCATACTCAGACCCACTCTAATACGGACGTGCTTTCGCACACTCTGACCACACACGTGCACTCAGATCCACGGGTACTCGGACACCCTCATACGCAGACGCGCTCGTGCCGAGACTGCTCACACTCAGATGAATTCGTACTCGGTTTAGTAATTCTCAGACTCGTCCACACAGACCATTCACATTCTGAGCAGTCACATTGAGACTCACTCGTAGACTCAGCCCCATTCGCACTCAGACTCACGCACTCAGACCGCTCACAGCCAGAAGCACGAATGCACTGCTTAGTCGTAACTGACCCGCATTCGGTCACTCACACGTGGACCCACTGTTACGCGTTTCTTCTTCTTCTTCTTCTTCTTCTCAGATTCGCCCATGCTCTCCGCGATGTACCACGCGTGGCACTTGGTCACCCCGAGGGGGGAGAAATATACCGGCGACCGCGCTTCCGCGAAGCGGAGCATCGTCGCGTCCTGGATGCAGCGTCGCCTTGAGACAGCCCGGTTCGAACATCCCCCAGGAAGGAGGGGGTGGGAGCGAGGAGGGCCCCGTCTCGGTTCTCCCCTCGGCGCGCCGCCGATGTAAGAAAGAGGAATGGGGAAGGAGGGGGAGGAGGAGGAGGAGGAGGACCAGTGCAAACCCAAGACTCATGCAATAGACGCTGTGCACTAGAGGAGGACCAATGCAAACCAACGATAGTGCAATAGACGCTGTCTCCAAGTTCCCCTTCACAGGCCCCTACAAGGATTCGTTTGCACTGAGGAGAGTGCCTCGTTGAAAGACAACGTTTGAAAATCGCGAATTACGCCAGAACGCCGTGTTTGCGTTGTCAACGCCGCGAATCACCGTTACTGATGCGCCTTGACGATGTTTGAATCGATTTGGAACAACGTTCCTATGACTTGAACACAGCGACTCAACATAGTGGTGCGACCTGACAGTCAGACACCGTGCCACAATATTATCCCTGTGATGTTAACTATGTGAATCCTTAAGGTTCGGGTGAACTCTGAGTACGTATGTGCGCGGCGCGAAGGCGAGAGCCAGATGTTGTAAAGGAGCCGCCCCACAGCCGTGCAACTCTTGCAACAGTTTCAGACGAATGCGCGCGGCGCTGAGGCGAGAGCCACATTTTGAAAACCACCCGCCCTCCATCCGCGAAGCGATTGCAGTTTTTGAAACGAATGCACGCGGCGCGAAGGCGAGAGCCACATTTTGAAAACCACCCGCACTTCAGCCGTGAAGCTCTTGCAGTTTTGAAGACGAATGCGTGCGGAGCGATGGCGAGAGCCACATTTTGAGAACCAGCCGCCCCCCATCCGCGAAACTCTTGCAGGTTTGTCAAGCGAATGCGTGCGCCGCGATGGCGAGAGCCACAGCGCGACAGCGGTCCGCTTTCCACCCGTGGACTTGCTGCAAATTCGAAGCTTCGGGTCCGTAAGTGGTGGGGAAGTCTCAGGCGAAACGACTGGCCTGCCGCCCTCCAAACGGCCTCGGGGTGCGACAGGGAAAAGTTAGTCATATGGGAAAGGAATGGGGGAAAGGAAAGGGGAAGGGGGAGGAATTAGGATGAGGAGGAGGAGAAAGAGGAGGAGGAGGAGGAGGAGGAGGAGGAGGAGGAGGAGAGGGAGGAGGAGAGGGATGAGCGAGGAGAAAGAGGAGAAGGAGGAGGAAGAGGAGGAGGAGGAGGAGGAGGAGGAGGAGGAGGAGGAGGACCAGTGCAATCCCAAGTCTCATCAACGATGTTAGAATACACCATCCCTCCAAAACTCCCTCTTCATAGGCCCCTATAAGGGCTCATTTCCACTGAGGGAAGTGCGCCGTTGGGGGACAACCGTGTGAACATCATGACGCGTGCCAAAACATCAGTCTCAGGAGATCAACACCAAGAGTCATCCTGAATTGCTTCAAAACGCAGTGCTCATAAGAACCCGTCAAGCTCCTGCAACTTCTTAAGACGAATGTGCGCAGCGCAAAGGCGAGAGCCACATTTTGAAAAGAAACCGCCCTCAATCCGTGGAACTCTAGTATTTTGCGTGGCGCTATGGCGAGAACCACATTGTGAAAACCACCCGCGAGGAGGAGGAGGGAGATGATGAGGAGGAGGAGGAGGAGAAAGCGGAGAAGGAGGAGGAGGATAAAGGGGAGGAAGAGGAGGAGGAGGAGGAGGAGGAGGCGGAGGACGACGACGACGAGGACGAGGGCGAGGACAAGGCGGGTGGAGGAGGCAGAAGCTGGGGCCAGGATCGGCGGGCCCCGGCGCGAGGAGCCGCGCCGCGGCACCGGCGGCTGCGCGAGTGAGCGAGCCGCCCGCGCCCGCGCGCTCTCGCCCGCGTGCCCTCGCCGGCGGGTCGCGCCGGGCGGCCTGCCTCGGGCGGAGGTGCGGCCACACGCTCGAGCGGTGGCGAAGCGTCCTGGCTCGCCGATGGGCCTCGGCAAGAACCTGCCTGTGGTCTGCACGAGCTGTGCACAGAGCATGTCTGGCCGAGGCTGTCTTGTGTTTTCACACATCGGGTCTATGCTCTAAGAACATATTTATTAGAGCATTCTGGGGCTCCTGAGAACAGGTCGTGGTGCCGGGACAGTCGGTCCCTGCTCACGGAGGTGCGGTGACACGCGAGAGGGACCTATCCGGCGGAGTGACCTTTCGCGCGGGCCCCATGTCTCGAAGAAGAAGAAGAAATGGAACAAGAAAAAGAAAAACACAGAAACATAGACATAGAAGCTCGGCGCTCCGCGCGGAGTTCTTGGATCCGCGCTGGGGGCCCCCGGCGGCGCCTCCGGCGCCGCGCCAGGGAGGGGGGCCCAGCCCGGATCCCGAAAAACCGCGCGGACCTCCACGAATGTTGTTTCTAGCGTTGTGTCTTCTTCTATTGGTGCTGGCCCACTGTCGGCAGGGCGGGGTGGGGGGAGGGGGAAGGCTTGTTAAAAGGAGGCTGCTTCTCAGAAGGCGCGGGCTTTGACTGTAGATGTAAAGCCGGGGGCCTTCTAAGAAGCAGCCTCCTTCACCGTTTTCTGGCTCTCCGGGCCCTCCACGGGCCAGGGGAGTGCCAGAAAGCGATTCAGCATTAAGACCTCGTCCTCGGGGAAGACCCTGGGGTCCAGGACCCGTTTCCCTCAGGATCCGTTTCCCCCATGTTGACCTTTGGTGCGGGCCCAATGGGGTTTCCGCCGCCGAAGGAGGCGGCACCAGTTGCATTTTGGGGGAGGGCACCTCCCCGAGCCGTGGATCTGGCAACCGCGCGCCAAATCCATGGATCGCTAATCCACGTTCGCGCACCCCCTAAACACACAGACAGAAGCAACCGTCGACCCCCCAGGAAAAAGTATGGAAACCGTTGGAAGCGCAGGGGGAGACGAGAGTCCAGAGAGTGTATGGGCACATGGGGGACATCCCGGGGTCTGTGTCCAGTTGTTTGCGTGTTCGGGAGCGGAAAAGAGGGGGGTGATGACTAGGGGGGGGTGGATTTCATGGCGCGGGCCATGATTTTTCCTCAGATTTCATGGCGCCTCTTCTTATTTCATTGCGTCCCAGGCCCCCCCGCTGGGCCGCGCACATGCCGCCGGTCATGATTTGCACCCCCCCTCTTGGACACCCCTCTCTTGGCCGCTCCCGACGTGTGCCCCGTGGGCTCCTTACAGAGGCTGCGCCGCGTCGCCGCCTCGTGGGCGCCCCGCGGGCGCCTCGTGGAGGCACTCCGCCGCTCGCTGAGGGGCGGGGGGTTCTGCCGTGCCGGCGCCCGCGCCGCCCCCGTGGGCGCCTCGGTCAGGCGCTCCGTGCTCCGAGCTCTCTTGCACGGCGTAGCCTTCGCCACATACAGTCGAGGCGCTGAAGAAGGAACCCTTTTCGTTGGGGAGGGGCTCGGTGTTCCTTGACTGTTTTACAGTTTGCCTCGGGTGTTCCTGAGGTTTTCTGTGGAAGCGAAGTTCAACTTGTGGGAAAAAGGGGCCTCGATCCTAACTTAGGGTTCCTTAGGTCAACGCCCCGACGGTAGCCTGCACCCCACGGCTGCTGATTACCTCCGGCTCGCACCGGCCCAGTTCCAGTGGAGGCCCCTGCCCAAGAGACACCCTGCGAGCCGCCAGGGTGCCCCGGGTGTCTTGGGCCTCGAGGGGCTCTAGCGATGGAGGGCGTGGCGTTCCCACACCGAAGATGAGTGGGCGTCCTGGGGTCTCAGGGTTGGGCTTCTTGTGGAAGGTTTCCTGTGGTCGGGCCCCTACTGTACAGAGCATAGTTCGCATCTCACAGCTTACACCCAATACATTTCAACTCCAATTCACGCCTGCCCAAGTGCATGACACAGTTTACACCGCACAGCTTCTACAGCATAGTACGGAGCCGACACAGTTTACACCGCACAGCTTCTACAGCATAGTACGGAGCTCGTCAGCTCACCCCACACCGTTTACACGAGATAACGTTTCCCACATAGCTTACACCGCATAGCTTACACCACAATGCAATCATGCACTGTTGGAGGTCCACGTTGGCCAATATTGACTTCTGGCACCTGGGAGATCTGTCCCACCCTCCCCTCCCAGAGAAGGCCAGGAACGGAGCGAGAGCTCCGAGGGCCTCGATGCACCGAAGAAGAACGAACGGCACTTGATTGTCAGAGACCGCGCAGGGCTCTTGGATCTGCGCCGGGTGCCCTTCCCTGGGGCGGCGGCGACGCCCGCGCAGGCGTTCACGGCCGAACGCCCGCCGGGGCCCAGCTGGAGGCCCCAGCTGCTGGAGGAGGCGACAGTGCGCAGAGCCTCCACGAGGGACGGGTTGGACAGCCCGTGGGGGCCCCCGGCGGATCGACGTCCGGCGCTGCAGAAGAGCACGACGGCTGCTGTTCCCCAGGCCAGGGCTTCTGGATGCCTGCTCTCCAGGCCCTGGGGCGGACAGAAGACCACCCACAACAAAGAACCCGTCCCCGGGATGTGGTCCAGGGTTCCAGGGACTCCGCATGGAGGCAGGACACAACGTCGGCCTCCCTTCCCGCCTCCTCCCTTCCCCTTTCGTTCCCCCTCCCCTCTCCTCTCTCTCCTTCCTCATCTCCTTCCTCCACTTCCTCATAGTACCAGCGCTTCACGATCAACATGTGATCTCTGCCCCCATCCACCCCCCTCCACCTCCACCCCGCTCTGCCCTCGCTCGGGGACCACAAAGGGTGAGGTGACGCCGTGGTGTGGTTTGCGATCGGCGCCGTCGGGGCCTGCGAGGCACGACGCAGTCCTAGTCGGGCCGCCTCGGGGCGCGGCGGAGAGCACTGCCGAGGTCCTCGCCCGGCCCCCCGGGGCGCCCCCTCGGGGCGGTCGCCGACTCACGTCGCCCCAGTCACCGCGGCGCCGAGCGCACGCCCGAGGAGGAGGAGGTCGAGCGTCGCTCTGGGCGCGCTCCGCTGCTCGCCGCGCGCCTTGGCGCGCAGCCGTTCGAAGATCACCGTTGCCTCGGCGTCACGGAGCGGCGCTCCCCCGCGGCGGAGCCCGGCCACTTTGCGGGCCGTCAACCTCCGCGAGGCGCGGCGCGCGCCCGCTGCGAGCGGGCGCGGGGGGAGGGATTGCAAAAAGAAGGATTGCAAAAAAACCCTGGATTGCAAAAAGCGAAGGGTTTTTTTGCAGTCCTTTTTGCAATCCTTCGTTCAAGGGGGGGGGGGGGAGCCGGGCGCGCGCGCGCGCGCGCGCCCGTGCGCGCTCGAGGCCCCGGGGCCTCCGAGGGGGCTGGCCTCGCCGCACCGGCCCGAAGGGGGCTATCGAGGGGGCTCCGGGGCTCTCCGCTCGCCGCGGCGGCGTGGGGGCCTTCTGGTGGTGCCCCCCCGGGGCCTCTCGGGCCGGACGAAAGGGGGGGATTGGGAAAGGCGCGCGTCGCGTCGTCGTGGCCGTCGCCGCCGTGGCGCCGCACCCCCCCCTCTGCGCGCCGCCGTCGGAGACCGCGCCCCGCCGTCCCGGCGGGGGTCGGGCCTCGAGCTCCACGGTCGCATGGCCGCCCCCCATGCCCCGGTAGGTGAGCGAATTATACAAACAAAAAACTCGGAGGTCCGCGCGGATTTCTCGGATCCGCGCTGGGCCTCCCTTCGGGCCGGACGAAAGGGGGGGATACGGAAAGGGGGGGTTACGACATTTCCTGCGTGTAGTTG